GGCAGAGTAGATTTAATATAATTCTTAAGGGCCCTAGGACTTTCAGAATGGTAAATGAACATTGGCTTCATTTTAATGTCACCAGCTGCATTAGCGCCTCACAAGAGTCAGGCCTGTCCTCTGAAGCTTTGAAGCCAGGCATTGACTCCTGGATGACGTCTTCTTCCAATATTGGACTGTTTTGTCTACATTGAAAATCTGTTGTTTAGTGTAGCCACCTTGATTATCTTAGCTAGATCTTCTGGATAACTTGCTATAGCTTCTATTTCAGCCCTTGCTGCTTCACCTCGCACTTTTATGTTATGGAAATGGCTTCTTTCCTTAAACCTCATGAACCAACCTCTGCTAGCTTTAAACTTTTCTTCTGCAGCTTCCTCATCTCTTTCAGGCTTCACAGAATTGAAGAGAATTAGGGCCTTGCTCTGAATTAGGCTTTGGCAAGGAAATGTTGTGGCTGGTTTGATCTTCTATCTAGACCACTAAAACTTTCTGCATATCAGCAACAAGGCTGTTTCTCTTTCTTATCATTTGTGTGTTCACTGGAGTAGCACTTTTAATTTCCTTCAAGAACTTTTCCTTTGCATTCACAACTTGGCTAACTGTTTTGCATAAGAGGCCTAGCTTTCGGCCTGCCTCGGCTGTCAACATGCCCTCCTCACTAAGCTTAATCATTTCTAGCTTCTGCTTTAAAGGGAGAGACGTGCAACTCTTCCTTTCGCTCGAACACTTAGAGGCCATTGTAAGGTTATTCATTGGCCTAATTTCAATATTGTTGTGTCTCAGGGAACAGAGAGGCCTGAGGAGAGGGAGAGAGATGGGGGAGCAGTCAAAACACACACAACATTTATCAAGTTCTCCATCTTATATGGGTGTGGTTTGTGGTGCCCCAAAACAATTACAATAGGAGCATCAAAGATCACTGATCACAGATCACCATAGCAAATACAGTAATAATGAACAAGTTTGAAATATTGCGAAAATTACCAAAATGTGACACAGGGACATGAAGTGAGCAAATGCTGTTGGAAAAATGGCGCCAATAGACTTGCTCAATGCAGTGTTGCCACAAATCTTCAATTTATGAGAAACACAGTATCAGTGAAGTGCAATAAAGTGACATGCAATAAAGTGAGATATGCCTGTATTATGTAATACAAATTTTATAAGCACTGAAGAAAAAGTACAGGGAGCCAAGAACTGTAGCAGGGGCAGTTGAATTACAGTAAAGGTTCAGGGAGAGAAGAGAATGCTTGAAGTGAAACCACTTGTGACAGGAGTTAACAGGAGTAACAGGAGTTAAGTAGGTAGAAGAGTTTGTCCAAGAACAGTGGGTATCAAAGCCTTGAAGTGGGAAGGAGTATGGCACAATCAAGGAACTAGATGAAAACTGGTCTGGGCGGAGCTCGGATGTGAGGGAGAAAGGCAGGGACCAGGCTTATGTAGGGCTTCGTAGACCGGGAATTTGGATTTTATTCTAAATGCAGGGGGAGACATGTAAGAGATTTATGCAGGTGAGTGACAGTGATCAGATTTACATTTCAGAAGAGTGCTCTGGTTGTGGTGTGGAGAACACCTTGGTACATACATACTGTTGTAGCAGCCCAGGTAAGGAATGGTGGTAGTGGAGATGGGAGAAGTGGAAGATTTGAGATCTCTGTTGGAAGTAGAATTCACAGACCTTGAGGGTGAGGGAGCTATCGAGCGTGATCCCCAAGTTCGTGGCTTATGTAACTGGATAGGTGCTCGTGCCATTCCCTGAGAGAGGGAGTACTGGAGGAGGGGCAGGGCTTGGGGGAGGAGAAGGAGAGCTGGCGTGGTTTTGGACATCTTGAATTTGAGGTGCTTTATTGACGTCTAAGTGCTGATGTTGAGGAGGCAGTTGGACACAAGGATCTGGAACTTAACTATTTGTATTAGACATAAATGTGAGAACATGGGTATATAGATGGTAATTGAGGAAATGGATGTGGATAAGATTGCCTAGCAAGAGTGTGTAGAGTAAGAAGAGAAGTGGGTTTAGATCTAAGCCTGATAACTCCCAACAGTGAGTGGATTGGTGGTGGGGAAGGGGAAGGGTGGAGGGAGGGGGGCGAAAGGAATGATTAGGCACATGTGTGTGGTGATGGATTGTAATTAGTCTTTGGGTGGTGAACATGATGTAGTCTATGCAGATATAGAAGTATAATGATGTAAACCTGAAATTTATACAATGTTATAAGCTATTGTTACTGCAGTAAAAAAAATAAAATAAAAAATAAAAGATAGTTGGGAAGGAGGTGACTGAAACGGAGTGGCCAGTGAGGTACGAGTAAGCTAGAGACTGCCCAGGGAAGAGAGGGTTCCTACAGTGAGGAGGTGTCAACACTGTCAAATATCGCTGAGAGAGGTAGAATGAGAATTGAAAAAACAAATGCCCTTTGGAAGCCGCCTGGGCACTTGTTAAGAGCTGTTTACTAAAGTGACACACAAATGGAAATCAGGTTGGTTTGGCTTTTCATAGATTAGTGAGAGCAGGGCAATAGGGTCTTTTTCCCTCTCTCCTTTAAGATGAGAGAGACTTTAATAGTGATCCCTGAAAAGGCAGGAGGAAAGAGAATTTCGAACAGAGAGATTCGCCTTTAAAGGGAGGAGGACTACTTGCGTAATCTTACAGGGGTTGTGGGAAGAGGGGGAGCTAGAAGAGGAGGGTGTAGATGCAGTAGGTGAACAGCATGTTTCCTCTGATGACTTCCATTTTCTCCATGAAGTTGGGAGCAAGGTCATCTACTGAGGGTTGGAGGAAGGATGGGGAGATGTGGGAGGTCAGAGGGGAATGGAGAACATCTGAAATAGTCCTAGCGGGGAGTGGAAGAATGAATTGATAAGAGAGGTGAAGTAAGATTGTCACGCAGTCTTGAGGGCCTCGGTGAGGTGTCTGTCCAGTTGGGTGTGATTTTCTTCAGTAGTGCTTCATTTCCTTGGTACAGGCAGGGAGAAAAGTGATAATAAGGTTCATCCAGGGTTTGTTTTTTGCCAGACAAGTGAAACAAAAAGCCAGAGACCAAGGGCATCTAGAGTATTTGCAGAAAAGTTATTGAAACTGTGGATGAGGGAATTCTAAGGTGGGTAAGTGGGTAAATAGATAAGATGGAGACTAATAGATAAGGAGAAGATAGAAGTATCAATAATGTGGTTGTCTCAATAGGGTCAAAGATTGTTGTAGTCAAAGGGGATTATGATCCGAGAGTAAAATACTTGAATTAGTGATTATTGACAGTAACTCTCTGATGTAGCTGTTATCTCATTTTAACAAATTAAAAAACTGAGGGTTTGGTAAATTTATAATTTGCCCTTGATTGCACAGCTAGTAAGCAATGAAGCTTGCTTCCCTGTGAACTCTTGTACCACTTAACTGTCTCTACTGCTCCTTTGACATGGAGGCATTTGTTATTAATTTTCACGTGTGTATGATCACTGGGGCAGAGTCCATTTTGAGGCTAGGATGACCTTGCTTTTTATAGTTGCTGAGTTTGAGGTCAGGTGAATTTAATTTCCTGGTTAATAAAAGAAGACAGAAACTTTCTATAAGATGAGGGAAATTATGATTTATCTTGGAAGCAGAGCTTTAAAAAAATGTACAGAATGTTTACCAACTTCTAAAAAGAAGATAAATGTCTTGGGGACCAGAATGACCCTTACATTTAGAATTGTAAATGAGCAGTGTGCCTAAACCTGCAGTGTGTTTTTCTCCTACTATTAAGTCCCATTTTTCTCAGGTTTCCTAAGTTGGAGGGTTCCTATAGAGTTTTGAATCAGAGCAAGGCCCAGTGTTATCTTCAGGGTTCCAGAGCAGGTGCTCCAGAATGTCACCTCAGCCTCCTCTCTGGGGCTGCACTTGTTTATGCATCTACTGCTTCCCGCACTCTACCCACTGGTATCTCTTGTAGAAGGAATTTGGCCTGTATTGTCAGACTGACCTGAGTTTCAGTCCCTCTTCTTGCATTTACTAGTCATTCTACCTTAGGCAAGACACAGTTTAAAAAGCAAATTGGTAAAATAAGGATAGTTACCTTACTGGGTTTTTCTGAGGGTAAATGGTAGCATTTGTGAAAACGTCTAGCATAACACCTGGCACTTAGGTACCGCTTTTCACCCCACTATCCTTCTTCACAACATTGTTCTGTGTTCTTTGGTTCCTTTTACTTAAGAAGTTTCTAGTCCTGTGTAATTAAATGAGTTAATATTTTAAAGATGCTTAGAACCAGGCCTGGCCCATAGTAAGCTCTATGAATGTGTGTTGAATAAGATAAATCAGGCATATGCTTGGTGGTGGTATACTTTCATTCTCTGCCAGGAAAAAGAGGGAAGAGCTCAGACAGTAATGTGCACATTTAGATTCTGTTCTCTTTTTGTTTTTTTGTTTTTGCTACTTTCACTTTTCTGGGGAGCCAGGTGCCTGAGGATGTTAATGATTTTTCCTTAATTTCCATCCCTGGGCTATCTCAGGATTATGAGCCATAGATGAGAGGGCAAAGAACAGCTGTTCTAAACTGCTGGAATTTTTGTGCTTGAAAGCAAAAGTTTGCATGCATTTTGTTTCAGCTTTTACTTACAGTGAATAGTAGTTAATAAAATAAGTCCCCACCTTTTTCTTTCCAATGTCAATTCCTGGGCCCAGGATCATAGCCCATGTACGGTAAATCAGAGAACAGGCTCTAGAGTCCCACCTTTACTTCTTCTATCGGTGTGCACTTAGGCAAGTTGCTTATGTCTCTGTGCCACCTTTTCCTCGTTGGTAAAATGGGAATAGGACTAGTACTTTCATCATAGGATTATTAAAAGGCTTAAATGAGGTTGCGCATGCTGCGGGAGTGCCTGGTAAATGGTTATAACTGTGAGCTATTGAGTGACATAGTGTGGTTGGTCCCACGTGCTTTCCCTGTAGTATATTGCTCTTTCTGTATCACTACCTTTGCGTTGGTACCCTGTCTGATCTTTCTCCCATACTGTTTTTCTTTCAGTGAAGTCTGCCAGTCCTTAGTGAAACATAGCTCTGGAATGAAAGGAAGCTTATCACTACAGAAACTGCATCTGGTTTCCCGAAGTATCTATCATTCACATCATCCTACCTTAAAGCTTCAAAGACCCCAACTCAGGACATCGTTTCAGCAGTTCTCCTCTCTAACTAACCTTCCTTTACGTAAATTGAAACTTTCTCCAATTAAATATGGCTACCAGCCCCGCAGGAATTTTTGGCCAGCGAGATTAGCTGCAAGACTCTTAAAACTTCGATATCTCATACTAGGATCTGCCGTTGGGGGTGGCTATACAGCCAAAAAGGTGAGTTTAACTTTCCTACTACATTTCCAATTACTCCAGCATGATTATTTTAAGGTTTTATAGTGTAAATCATTTTTCTTTAGTGCAGTAGAATATAATTGGATGTTCAAACATTTATTGTGTCTCTACTATGTGTTAAATTGTCTTATGATGCTGATAGGAACATCTGAATTTTAGCTATAATTGTAGGAGATAAAAATGGCCTAGGGGAGGGAGCACTGGACTGGGAGTGAGAGCACGCAGGTTTGATTTTCAGCTTTGCCATTTAGTAGCACCGACAGGAAAGTTAAGTGGCTTGCTCACGCACCCCTTCTTGGCAGCTCTGGGACCACAGACAAGGTCCTAACCCTTGGTCTGCCTTCCTTCTCTTCCACAGTGTCGTTTAAAGGCAAATCATGAAACCTGTTTGAAATAGGAGTATATTTTGAATTTTTACATTTTCCATATTTAGTAAGGGAACGTTTGCATGTTTTATATACTTGCCTAATTTGTTTTTAGAAGAGCTGAGGCTGCTTTGTTTCTCAAAGTTTTGAACATAATACATCGTTCTTAGTAGATTAGCATGTTTTAATTAAATAAATTAAAATAGTTTTTCTTGGTATTTTTATATGACATTCAGAGCATTTGATTGGCATTCTTTCTTATCTTTTAGACTTTCGATCAGTGGAAAGATATGATACCTGACCTTAGTGACTATAAATGGATTGTGCCTGACATCGTGTGGGAGATTGATGAGTATATTGATTTAGGTTTGTATCATCAATATTAAAATACTTTTTTTGGTCATATATTTAGGAAAAAGAAATAGTTGTGTGGAGATAGTTTTTTAACTCATGAGTTTAATGTTTAGCAGTTTTATTTTAATGATAAAAATAATAGAATATCAAAGAAAAAATTTGTAAGGAAAAAGATATTCACTAGTCCATCACTTGAACACAGCTGCTGCTTTCCATATGGAGCATTTTCTAATTGTACCTATTCTGTGTATGTGGTTAATATTTTAGTTTCCTTTTTAAAAATTATATGGTCATAGTGAACATATACTTCGGTATCTTGTCTTTTGCTGCTATACACATTTGTCAGCATTTTCCATACTGCCAAGCGGCCTTCCCAAGCATCGTGTTCAGTGTTGTGTGTCACCCAGAACAGATGAATCATGACCCACCTAACTAGCTCTTTTTGATTGGATACCTTGGTTACCTCTATTTTTTGTAACCAGGTTCCTTAAAAATCTACTAGTGTCCAGAGTAATTTCTCCCCATTGTCAGCCACTGTCCCCCTTTTCTAATAAGAGGTGGATGAGAAAAAAGTGTATTTGATAGCTGTGATTGCCAGTAAGTCGTGGTGATCTTTTTTATTGTTTTTTTATTTTTGGATGAAATTATTTTCCTCAGTCTGTTTTTTTAGACTTTGTCTAATTTCTTAGTTTAGGCGTATATGGGGGTGGAATTAATCTCTACATGCACTTATTCACGATACTTTCTTAAAGATAAACCATGCTGCATTGACAAAGGCATTTGCAGGAAAAGCACTCTTTCAAATTATTTATCTAATATTCATGAGGAGAGCTAATTTTTTTTTTGCCAATACCACAGTGTAGTGGCTGAGAGCCTGGATTCTGAAGCTAGACTGCCTAGGCTTAAACCCCTGACTCTCCCACTTCTTTGCTGTGTGCTCGGGTCCAGTTCCATCACCTCTGTGCCTCAGTTCCTCGTCTGTAAAATGGGGTTGATGATAGCTATTTTGTAGAGTTACTATTGAAGATTAAACAAGTTAATGCTCTTATAGCACTTAGAATAATACCTGACATATTCTTATTTTGAGAATATTTATGTGTTCTGGTCTTTTTCAGAGAAAATTAGAAAGGCCTTTTCTAATTCAGGAGATGCTGTAAAGTTGTACCAGACTTTGACAAATTTGTTGAGTGTTTCTAAACAAAAATAAATACTTTGACCATTCTATAAATAAAGCTAGCAAAAATAAAATAAAAGCTTGTATTGGGCTCTTAGCCATTTGTTTCCAGTTGGTAACACATATAAATCTTCTTAGAGACTAAGAAAGGAAGGAGAAAAGGAATGGAATTCTGTTCTTGAACTTGAACTGGGTTTTTATCACATTTTTTTAGTTCAGGCTAGGTGCTGTAAGTGATGTTTTTCTCTTTTTTCTTTGATCCTTTGCCTCTTTGCTGTGATTTCCTCCCAGAAAGGACTTCTGATTCTAGTCCAGTGTTAACATTGTTAACCCAGTGCTTCTGTCTCAAGGCATTTAACTTATAAATCAAAAGTATCCATCTAAGCCATATGTTTGGTGAATCTTTTTAAAAAAGTGTCATGGCTTATAGAATATCAGAGTAACACATTGTTTCAGATATATGTAGCAGTTGTAGTTGTAATAGGGAGAAAAATGGATTTTTTAATTTAAATTTATATATGATGATTATTTAAATTTTATGAATGTTTTAATAGTCAAATTTTTATTTTTAGAATATGTATGTTTTTTGTTTGTTTTCTCCAGAGAAAATTAGAAAAGCCCTTCCTAATTCAGAGGACCTTGCAAAGTTGGCACCAGACTTTGACAAGATTGTTGAAAACCTCAGCTTATTGAAGGACTTTTTCACCACAGGTAAGGAAGGACCTATTTGATCTCATTTAAAATATCAGGAACCATAGAAGAAAAATAATTAGACGTATTCATTTGTTTATTCCCATCTTTTGAATGAAAACAATTTGTACAAATGAAAAAAGTTTGTGGAAAAAAGGTTAACACTTAAGTTTTGTGCAGTGATTTTAATTTTTGTTTAGCCCAATAAGATGAAAATTTGCAAGAACCTAAACCTGGCTTTAGTCTTTCGTCAGTGAGGGAAAAAATATCACTTGTTCTTGACAAGTAGATGAGACTTCCTATGTGTTTGCTTTTCATAATTGGTTAGAGCCAATTTAGTGATTTAAAATCAAATTTAATTATGATGGAGCATAATGAGTAGAGTTTACTAAGGTTGATCCTGGTGTATTTGCCCAATTACTGCCCTATCATGATATAAATCTGAGGTCTCAGACATCTTTGTTTGCTCATTCCTGTTAAATTTTATGTTTCTATTTCCCTTTTTGCTGATTTTTCACAGGTCACAAATTGGTTAGTGAAGTCATAGGAGCTTCTGACCTACTTCTCTTGTTAGGTGTGTAAACAGACATTTTTGCTGACCTTAACATGCCTTTTAAATGCTTCTAATAAACTAGTTGCAAATAAAATTGCAGACCAAATTTATAATGCTGCTTATGCTGAATTTTAAAACCCAGAACTACATTGGGCAAATTCATTCTTCTTTAGATGGAAATAATAAAATAATTACGTTGTGGTAAAACTAAAGTTCCTAAATATGTATTTTAAGAAGGAAGTTTGCTTAACCAAAATATTTTCTTGAAATTGATCTGTTTTTGATAATTGAAATGAAAAGTAATTTTAGTTTGTCTCATCTGTCCTGTCATAGTTGACATTTTAAATTTATTTTTTTACTGTATGTAGTCTGTAATGGCAGTGGTATATGGCCAAACTGTAAGTACTCTCATGTAAAGTAATCCTTATCAAAGATTGTCGTATTTTTTTATTGCAATTTTCAGTGACATTTTAAAAAATAGGTTAAACGTGTTATAATGTTTTTTAATTGTCTGCATAGGTTACCAGTGTGTTCCTTAAAATAAGCATACTTTTCCAAAAAGTGATTTTTTTTTTGCTCTAAAAAATCCATTTACCTTTTAATTGCCTAGACATAATTTGGAATTTAGTTTAGACTGTTGACATCACTGGAGAATTTAAAGGACTCCATGTTTATCTTTAAGGTTCACCTGGAGAAACCGCATTTAGAGCAACCGATCCTGGGTCTGAAAGTGACAAGCATTATAGGAAGGTAAATATAAAGGCGAATTCTTCATGTAGGTAGTCTTGAAAGATATTAAGAAGTTTTGACCTACCTGGAAGATTTGGAAATGGTAACATCTGAGGAGCAAATATAAAAGCAGCGACATAGAGGTATTGTTACTAATCCTGGTACAAAATGCAAGATATTGTGTGGCCGTTCTGGAAATATAATTGGAGAAACACATTTCCTTCAGATGTGTTCTTTGAAATATTAGTTGCAAGGATTGTCCTCAACAAAGGTTTTTGTTGTTAAATATGTGAGGGAGAAACTGGTAAAAATAAAATAAACAGGCTTCTTTTCTTTTCCCTAGGATTTCTCAGACCTTAATATACTCCTGTGTATTGTGAATCTCCAAGAGAAGTCAAGTGTACAGAGTTTTCCAGATTTATTTAGCAACAGAACCCTTTTTCCTTGAAATATCTTCTAGGGACTAATGTTTCATGGCATATACTTAGGGGAAATATCAAGGGAATAGGAAGTGGGTTATTAGGGGATAAACTGATTCTGTTAGTTTGATACTCAACAAAATTATGTATGGGATTATATAGGGTATGTCAGTTTCAACACATGCATTAACAAAATCTGTGTGGAAGTTTTTAGGAGAATTACTGATGTAAAATAACGTATACATTGCTCTGTATTTATATTCATTGTTAACCTGACATTTTCTTAGTCCTCACTTTTTTCATCTTTCGGAATTGGTAAGATAACTGATTCCTTGAAAGGTTTTTAAAAAATAATATCTAGATCAATAGATCTTGGAAAAAAATTCTATGAACATTTTAAATTAAATATGGAATATTTAACTTTTATAGTGAAGGTTATTATGGTTTCAATATATTGAAGGGAAATAATTTTATCTTTATTTGAGAAGCAGGAAGAAAATAATTCCTATGTGTAAGTTTCCATCTCTCTCCCTGTCCTTCAACGTTGAACTTTTTACGTGATATTCCAAGTTTTAATTATATTTCAAGAGATTTTTTTTTCTTTTGCCTTTTAATTTGATCTTTTGGAGAAAACATATTTCAAAATGTGTATGTGTGTGTATATGTGTGCGTGTGTATTTGTCTCTCAACTTGACTTTTTCTGATATCTTTTCCATTGGCATTATTTTAACCAAGGGACATCCTTTATTATTCATGCTACTCTGGAGAAAAGTTGAAATAGAAATTGACCTATTATGCACAGCTTTTGAGCCAAGGCCTTGGCCCTTAATGTAGGTAGACTTACTGTGCAGAGAGGAGCTAATCTAGTGGGAAGGGGGAGCCTCTGTTACAAGTACTGTAGTGTGGTTTTCGAGTAACAAGATTTCTTGTTGCCTAGATAGGTTAGGGGAGGTCTGTACATCTGCTCTTCTCTGATATAGCCTAGGATTGCTTAGGTGAATGAGAAACCTGTTTCAGAGCCTGACTTAGATAATTCCCTTAAAATCCTGCTCAGGTGATAAATGACTAATCAATAAGTGGTCAGAAGCTCTGCAATATAGAGGAAGCAAGAGAATGGATCTCTAGGAATTTAATTATATTTACAGAATTTATTTTATACAATGGACATGAAAGTAAATTTATTGCTTTATTTTATAATTTACTCCTTTGCTTGTTTGAAGATAAATGCCTTTTTAACTTTTTCTTAATTACAGGGATTATCTTGTCCATTAAAAACTCACAAATTATTATTTCCAACTATTTGTTGTAAATACTAAATCTAGAGTTATAGTTAAGCTGCTTTCATTACAGGCTAAATCGAATTGTAGAAAATGCTACAATTTGCTATAATTGTAAAAATTTACTATACAGAAAAAGTATTTCCAGCCTCAACTAGTGGTTTTAAATTCTGTTAATATGCAGCAGTATGTTTTCAAGGCTTGTGATACTTAAGAATAATAAACCATTCAGACAAGATGCAGATAAACTCTCTACAAGTCGATGGTTTATTCTAGTGTGGAAGGAGAGACCTTAGCCTAGCCTTAGACTTTTTGAAATTACTCTAAAAATCAAGTTTGAAAATGCGGGCAATAATCAGGGACAATAATGCAGAGTTTAGCTGATACCTTTTTGATTGGTTCAGCCTGGTGTCTGAGAGCCCCAGATTTAAAATGGTGTTCAGGGTTTGAAGCAGTCATGCCTTAGCTTAATGCTTGTCCGGTTTGTACCAAAGTTTCTGGCTAGATTTCTGCTAGAAATGTAAAACTAAATGTGAATCAGATTTTTAAAAAGTAGTAATAAAAGGGCCGGCCCCGTGGCTTAACGGTTAAGTGCACGCCCTCTGCTACTGGCGGCCCGGGGTTCGGATCCCAGACGCGCACTGACACACCGCTTCTCCGGCCATGCTGAGGCCGCGTCCCAGGTACAGCAACTAGAAGGATGTGCAACTATGCCGTACAACTATCTACTGGGGCTTTGGGGAAAAAAAAAGGATGAGGATTGGCAATAGATGTTAGCCCAGGGCCAGTCTTCCTCAGCAAAAAGAGGAGGATTAGCATGGATGTTAGCTCAGGGCTGATCTTACACACACACACACACGCACGCACGCACGCGCACACACACACACACACACACACACATTTCTACAGGGCCAGCTCTGTGGTGTAGCAGTTAAGTGCATGCACTCCACTGCTGGCGGCCCAGGTTCAGATCCCGGGCGCGCACCGACGCACCGCTTATCAAGCCATGCTGTGGCGGCGACCCAGATAAAGTGGAGGAAGATAGGCACAGATGTTAGCCCAGGGCCAGTCTTCCTCAGCAAGAAGAGGAGGATTGGCATGGAGGTTAGCTCAGGGCTGATCTTCCTCACAAAAAAAGAAAAAAAAAAAACGTTTCTACAACTAGAACTGAAAAAAAGATTTGTTCTTTCTAATAGGAGAACACATCTGGAGAAGTGCTGCCGAGTAGAGGAGCAGTTAGGACTTTTCAAAGTCAACTGAAGTGGAGGTGACGGAGAGTTGAAGGAACATAGATAACAGATTGTTTGACTTCGGTCAGACGAAGTGAACAACATGGTCTGATTACCTGTGCTTCCCAGTCTGGAGTCACTAGACTTTAGGTGATGTGGAAAGTTGTAATTGAGGTCTTCAAAAAGCATATATTTCCACATAATGCTGCATGGGCTAACTAAACATCAGGTTTCTTTGATTTATGGATTTATATCCATTCAGTTTGTGGACAGTAGTTATTTATGTTATGTTGATCAAAAGTTCTGATATGTATCTTTGATAAATAAAAATAGAAAAATGCTGAAACCACTTTTTAGTAAGTGCTTTTTGTTAATTAGAAATTTTAAAACTTGTGTCCACTGGATAAAAATATTAGAAAGAGCCCTTGGTGTGAACTAAATAATATTCTTGAGACCTAGAGACCTTCAGAACTACCTGAAGAGACATTGGGAATAGGAGTGTGAGCCTGCTTTGTAAATTAATGGACTCATCTGATTTGTAAATCAGATTTCTGTATATCGGTCATAATATATATAGGTGACAAGACCACTTAGTGCATCTCCATTTTTAGATTCAGTAAGGTTGTTGTGTTCTGGTGAAAATTAATTTTCTAAATGAGACATTGTATTATCTGTGCTTTTGTTCTATCATCCTTCTGATTAGTTGTAAACATCTCACAGAAGTAAAGAATATGGTCATTCTGAAGGTTACATGGTCATTCTTTAGGTTACAAGCACATTTATAATTTATAGAAATTATTTGAAGGACCTTTTAAAAGTCCAAATCATGAAAAATGGTATTACTGTTTTAAATATAATTATTAAACAGTAATACATTAATACTCTTCCTTTCCATGTTATTCCACTTCTCATTTGTGTGGCTTTACTTATGTTGCACCTCCCAGCTGAAATTTCTCTCTTTGCTTTGCTCTGCCTAATTTCCACTCATCCCTAAAGCCCAGCTCAGTTGTCACCTTCATGAAGCTTTCCATCACCATTTTAGTTCCATTAATTATACTCTTAGTGTTTAAAACACTTGCCGTATGAAACACTATTTACTTTGGCTTGCATTCTTACTATTTAATGAGCTATTTCTATCACAGAATCTCTGTCCTTAAAGCACCTAGAATAGTGCTGAGCTCTTAGCAAAATTAGTTGATTTAGCTCAGTAGAAGAAAGGCTAATTTAAAGTAAGTAAATTAGATTGATGCCAACAAAAGTGAGTCCAAATATTTTATATAATATGTCTTTTTGTTCTGATTACCTGTGAATTTCCCTTGGCCTTCAATGTTTGGCAACCATTGAGGGGAACAGGAATGGGGAGATAGTACATGTACTCGATGTTCTGAATTGTAACGAAGCCGTGTTGCTTACGTACAATTGACATTTCTGGGATTCCTCATGCAACAAATAATGTAGTAACTGTGGCAAGATGAATTCTCACAGCCAGCACCATCAAGGTAACCACAGATACAGGAAACTTAAGTTTCCTGAGCAGCTAACAACTAGCAACTGTACTTGGTTAGATTCTTAGCCAGCAAGCCAAACCACTTGTGTCTTGGAGTGTAGTAGATGAAAAGCAGAGGGATCAGAGGAAGACAAGAAGGGAGGATCTGCAGGAGGAAAATGGAATGGCAAAACAGGCAACCTTATTTTATTTCTTAATAATAAGCACACTGCACTTTTATGTCATTTAAGAAACATTAAATATATACTGTGTACATAACACTGTTTTTAGGTAATAATTTAGAACACAGGATTTGGTAGAAATTGTAATATTGATAATAACTATTGGTAATAGACTGATTTGTTCGTCTCTTAAAATTGTTATTTGTAGAAACTGTCCAAATAGTAAAATAGGATATGGTATTTCTGAATTGGAGCAAGTTAAATAATCCAAGTAGGAAGATGTTTTTCCTTCTGATGACCAATAATAAACATTTTTCAGTTTGCTATAAATATTCTGAGTGGAATTATGTATTACTGGGAAGGAAAAAAATAGGAAAATGGTTCTTTTTAGCTAATCAAATAGCAGAATTATTCAAATTTGAAAAGTGGCTAGGAATATTTTTTGAATGGAAAGGGAAAGAAGTCTTCACTTTCTTAAAGTTCTTTTCTGGACCCAGATTACTTTTAAAACTAATAAAGCAGGGGTTGGCAGACTTTTAAAGGGCTGGACAGTAATTGTTTTAGGTTTGTAGGCCTCAAGGTCTCTGTGGGCTACTCAGATAGCCCACCATAGTTGGCCAACTCCTTCTCTAAAGAGTAATTTAAATATGCTTTTCAGTGTATTGGAATATTACCATTTTCCTGTTTTAAATGTAAATTGAGGGCCAGCCCCGTCGCTTAGCAGTTAAGTGCTCGCGCTCCGCTACTGGCGGCTCGGGTTCGGATCCTGGGCGCGCACCGACGTACCGATTCTCCGGCCATGCTAAGGCGGCGTCCCACGTACAGCAACTAGAAGGATGTGCAACTATGACATACAACTATCTACTGGGGCTTTGGGGGGAAAAAAAGGAGGAGGATTGACAATAGATGTTAGCTCAGAGCCACTCTTCCTCAGCAAAAAGAGGAGGATTAGCATGGATGTTAGCTCAGGGCTGATCTTCCTCACCAAAAAAAAAGAAGAAAAAAAGGTAAATTGAACCTGATGGCTCGAAGGCGCTTTGAAAATAGTGAGACCATAGTGCTAATGAGATGATATTAGGTGCAGACTTTGAAGTCACACTGCCTGCGTTCAGATCCAGCCCTTCCTGCTTTCTGAGCTGCATGACTTTGGACAAGTTCTTTCTCGTTTCCTCTCCTGTAAAAGGGGCAATTCGGCCTGATAGGTTTGTTGTGAGGATTATGTAAAGCCCTTTAGCAGAAGATGGGCATGTAATAAAGCTAAATAAATATTGAGTATTAGGATTTTAATGATGATGATGACGATGATCATTATTATCTTACACTTTGAATTATTTCATGAGATAACAGCATATTAGCATTTTTGGTTAAATTCCTCTCCTTAATTTCTGTGGAGTCTGTTCTGAGGATTGTAAAAAATGGGAAAATGGATTGTAGGGTTGATGCATGGCTTATTTAGAGAATAAGCATTTTTTACAAAACCCAATTTGGATTAAATGCCAGAAACTTTGCATTATTAGGTAAAAGTAGGTTGTAATTTGATTTATTCAAGCAACAACCATGAACTAAGCCCTACTCTAGGTGCTGGCTATAACACATCTAATGTGTCAGACCTTGGTTTAGGTGCTTAGGTTTGAAAGCAAACAGGATAGGGCCCTGCACTATAGTAAATTTTTATAATACTGTTAAAAATATAGTATTTTAAATTTTCTCACATATGAATGATTTATAATTGCAACATTATTTTAAATCTTTCCTAACTCATTAGGTTTGTTAGAACCTAACTTTTAGGTTATCGCAGCATTTTCAGTTGACATTTTGGTTTCTGGAGTTATCATTAATTTTCTTGATCTGACATAATTTTCTTTTAAAAACTGAGAACATTGTACATGAAATATGAGACTATGAGAGCTGCAGTGTCAAATTGACAATAGCCAGGAGATGTTGAGAGTATACCATCTGTAGTTGTTTATAATAACTCTTTATTGTTATTTACAATAGTTATTATATTTTACATACAATATATCATTTAAAAAATATGTGCTATTTCTTGAGAGAAAAATGTCTGAGTTTGGGAAACTATTTATTGAAAAAATATATTTTGTCCATTTAAGGAGTGTATCTAGCACAACAGGTGCACATATTTCTTCCTCTTCCTTATTCCACATGGCCTTAGCTTAGAAGCTGTATATCCCATCACTTGGTAATTAGGGTACGATTTGATGCCTAAAATTGGGTAAGGGTAACCTCCTTTAGTCATATAGTATAGAGTAAATAGCTTTTTTTGTGTCTAATTCTTGTTCTCTTCCTACTTTTTTCAGGAGGTAACAGTTAATTTCAACTATCTTCACATAATAGTGCTTCAGTACAGACTTGGAAGGAAAGTGAGGTGTCACTAGAAAGAGGATGTTTTCTTGTAATGTGACAGATATTAGAGTATATACCATACCGTTTGTATACAGATATAAGCAATGGAGTAGGGAGGGGTGTTTAAGCCATTAATAGGAAAAGAATCGAGTATGTGATAGACCAGCACAGTTAAGAAACGTGGGGTATTTTCTCACTGCTTTGGCATTTTATAAATTAGAATACTGGTGGTATGTTAATTAAAGCACAGGTACACTACTGTATAAGCCAACAAAGGAAGGCTTCTTTAAAAGGGAATTGTTGTGTGATTGTCTTTCTTTGATAGATTCATCAATGACCATAAAAGTATTATTTAAAAGATATATCTTTAAAGATAACTGCAGGTTTTTATAAACATATATTTTGTACTAATGAATTTGGAAACGTTGAAATTTCAGTTATGTTACTTGCCACTTTGATGTTCTCTTACTTGTCAGGCAGAAATATCAACTAGTTTCATCCTTTGATTTATAGTAAGTCAACCCGGTTAGTTTTTGTTGGCAATGATCATAGCCTAGTGTATTAAAACTAAGAATCAAACAAAGTAAAAATCCCCCAAATTATATGGTAATACTTTCCCTTAATTTGAAATGCTTTCCTATACTACTAGCTTTTCTGTTTGTATTTACTTCTTTTCTGGAAAATTTTTTTGTTTATGTAAGTCTTTGGGTTATATAAAGTAAGCCTCTGGGTGAGTCTACTAATTAAAATTTGAATGTAATGTTAACTAGTATTTTGTTTTAAGAGACTTTCTAATCATATACAAAACAAAATATTTTTGGCAGTTATTTAAAAAGTTCTGAAGCTATTTGAAACTCTTAATTTAGATTATTTTAATGAGTATTAGTTTTCCTAACTCCTTTTATTTTTATAACTTGGTAAAAATTGAGCCTATTGTTCTCCCAGAATGCTGTTCTTGTGCAAATTAAATAGTCACCTCATTCACTGGAACTTTACCTTTTTAGGGCTTCTAATTGAGAAAATATTAGGCTTTGACATTGTCAATTCTTAGTTGTCTTTTCTCCCACATTTCTCGAGGTCAGTTATCTAATAGGCCAGCAATTAAAAATACTGTACTGAAAATAACATGTATTTTAGTATCGTGCTACATGTGAATACATTGTGAGTGGTAAAAATTGCACCAGATTAACCTTTGATGATTATTAAATGGAATGAATTTTAAACATAGAAATGGTGATTATTTTGTGCGTAGGTCCAAACTGGGTTTTGTTTCATTTTTAAGTTTCATAATAACTATATTATCTCCATATCTTAACTATGTTCTTTTATAATGCTTTCACTTTAGTAATCGATATAGTCTTGGTTATTGTCTGAGAAGCTATTTTTACTTAATGTCAAAACAGCTCATAAAAAGTGAAAATTCAGTCAAACCTTCATGTATAAAATTAAAACAGTACCTAAAACATTATTTTTTAATTTGCAAAAAAAAGAACCCTAAATTTTAGTCAAATAACCTTGTGTGTATAGGCATGTAAAATATATGCACTAATGTAAAACCTTGATTAACTTGATGCTCAAAAACTCAAATTGTTTTGAGGGACTGTAATCTTTAATGGAAGACATCAGATATCAAGAAAAAATATTTAAGAATAATAATTTAATAAGTAAATAAGCCCTTATGTATCTCATTCAGTCCTATTAGAATTATGGTTGAGAATTAAAAGATTTAGGCCTGAAAGATCAACACTGTTCAAAAAATGTTTTGTTTTTTTGCCCCATATGTATCAAGTCAGGAGCATACACTAGTTCATATTGGCCATTCAAAAATAAGGGTTGAAGTATTTGTTTTGTTGATTTTCCTGTTACTAGGAAATTTAGTTAACTACGGCACCACCTTCCTTGAGCATTCCAGTTAGTCTGGGTTTTACTACATGTTGATATTATATATCTGGCTTGTTTTATTCAGCAAACAATCACCTACTGCATTTTCCTTTTCACTTTTTAAACTGTGCTGTTTTATATTTCTGAGACATCTAATTTTACTGAGGGGAAAAATGGAAATGTGGTACAGAGCCCAATTATATACAGTGGCTCGACAGGTACATAAATGAGTTTCCATTTTTGTTATAAGCTATTCATTCCTCCCTAATTTACATCTGTTCCTTGCTTGTGCCCTTTGGTTTAACATTGTTCTCCTCCCCAATTTTCCTCTTCTCCTCATTGTAAACTCATGGCAGGGTCTGCTTGGTGAGCTCATTCTCTTACAACAGCAAATTCAAGAGCATGAAGAGGAAGCCCGCAGAGCTGCTGGCCAATATAGCACGAGCTATGCCCAACAGAAGCGCAAGGTGATGGATGGATGGTTTAAGGGGGCTACTGATTGTTCACACTAATCAGACATTTCTACCAGATCATGTCGCCTTAATCCATTCATGGACTCCAATTATGAGAAATTACTTTTGACAAAGTAAAAATATGAAAGATACATAATACAAATATGTAACTTTCCAGGAGTGGATAAACAAACCCAAAATATTAAGCATAGGAATTATTTTCTGAAAATTAGATTATCTGTGAGGGCCCATGGATTTGTATTTAGAGAATTATGATTTGCAGTTTGCTTGTTCCAGTTATTGAATCACCCTAAGTTTATAGCCCAATAGACTAGTTATAGTCTATTTACTTGTTCTCCAAGTTTTTATTTCTAAAATGAAAAGGATTACTATGGATGACCATGTTAAATTATTTAAAGAATGAAATTTATTTGTTTTAGCTAAAATGGATCAGCAGAGAACATTCTTATTTCTTGTAGAAGAAAACTATTTTGATTTAACTTTAGGACAAAGTTATTCTTATACACTTTGATAAACTCATTGCATAAAGTTTTTCCACATTCATCAATAAAGTCAGCGCAAATAAATTTTCACTGTGGACCACTGAAGGATTGAAAATTGGAAAGTTGCTATAACTCCAGTCGCTAAAGAACAGATTCTAATGAAAGCATAAATCTATACAAATATTTGCTTTTAGGTGCAATCAAGAAGTCCTTAAAAATATGCTTTTGGCTGTTAGATTATCCCAAGGTTAATGTTCTAAAGAGACTTTTTGAGTCAAAATGAAATGAATGTAATGATTTATACAAAGTTATACTCGGAGATCTTGAAATCAGCTAGTTATGTTACATATATTAGATCAGAAAAGTTTTAACGTTATGTATAAATATTACTCAGGAAAACAGATTCAGTCATATAATTAGCTTCCTGTAGGTTCTGATATTGATATCAACCAATAATATAGATAATGATTTAGTGCAACAATTCTACTGGCTAACCTTATCTCATTTGGTGGTGGTGGTTAATACTTGAGAGTACTCTTTTATTTTTTCAGTGTCACTTCCTGGCTTTTCTCAATTCCATGGCTGTGGAATCGACTCCTGTGTATTGTTTAGCTTTCAGTGAATGTATAATATAGGTAGAAATAGAAAATGTTATTTTACTACTTGGTTAAGTTAAAGTAGATTTGTTAAACCCAGGAAGGACTTACTTTACATGGTGCTTTAGCATTCCCTGTTCTGTGTGCTGTTGAGAGTACCGTTTCAATATTGTAACAAATTGGATGCTTAGGCTTGAGCCGTTGTTCTTTAGCTTTGTTACAGAAAGAAGGGGAGGGAGCTACTGTGTTCTGGTATGTTAGTTAGAAATATGAACATAGCTCTAGTTACAAGTTGTTCTTAAGTGTTTTTGCCTAATGGTAAAATAATTTGAAATGAGTCCCATAGATTTGCCATTTTAAGATTATTCTAAGATATGGTTTAAGATGATAGATATGCTTTTGAATCTAATGATTTAAGGGATATTATTAGTGAATACTGGTCATTTTCTACATTGCTAAAGGTTAATGTTCATTTGAGGCCTACTTTACTAGCCTTTTTTCAGGCTTAGAGATAGCATTCCTATTTCTAATATTTATTGGATTATCTACATAACCCTTTTATTCCTTCCTTTCCCCATTTGTAAAATAGTGACTGACAGGACTGTACCTCCATTTGTTTTCTTTATTAAGGCACACTTAGTGGAGCACCACACAGGGCTTGTTCCTGCCCACTTTGGAGTTACCTTGTGCAAAAGTAAATGGGACTTTAAAAACGATTTTTGCTCTTCTATAACGACATCGTTCCCCTTACTATCCTGAAAGATGGTTTCCTACTATATTTTCCCCCCTTTCCCCCTTATAGACAGAACACAGATGAGTTTTCAGCCCTTCAGTGTAATAATGATCAAAATCCTAGTTCATGAGATTTTTGTCATTCCAGGCATTTGAGGTTTACCTGAGGTGCAGATCCACAGCTAATTTTTGTTCCTTTTTAATCCTTCTTTCTCCCTTACTTTCTTGAAAATATAAGGAGGTCTTCATTTTTTATATCTTGTTAGTAGCAGCCGATAAATTTTCCCTCTATCTTCTGAGCTAAGGAGCTCATGCAGTGATAGTAGATTAAAACTGCCGCTGGTAGTTTTAATGTGAATATGTAGGCAAACACAGAAATTTTTACTGGTCTTATATATTTCGGTATTTCAGAATGACCACAATGCCTTAGTAGGAGGGAATAGTTACCATTTTAAAATCAGGCTTGGTTTTGTGAGGAGCTAGTAAAGGTTTTTCTCTTTCAGCTTTAGCTTGTTTCTGCGGAGGATTCCGCTCTTTCTCCATCAGTTTCACAGCTGTGGAATTGTAGAAAAGCCCTGGTTTCAAGACCATTGATACCCATTTCTGTCAGGGTGAGTTTTAAGTTAATTTCATTATGCAAACTGAATATATTAAACAAGAGGACAAGAACTTATTCTTGTCGTAAGTAGCTGAATTTTACCAGTAAAGTGCATCAAAATAAAATATAACCAAGTTGCTAGTTAAGACCGAGAATAAGTGACAGATTAAAAATAGCATGTTCTTTTCTCTTACAAAAATATGTAAAAGTATCTTCTCGTTAATCTTTAATATTTATTTTGTAAACCTAAAGGTTTTCATCTTGTTTCCTAGAAAATATTAGATCTAATTCTTGACTCCACCACCTATCTTTTAATATAACATTAATTTTGATGTTCCATTAAACTAGCTGTTAGGAAGTGTATTGGTAAAACTGTGCATGAGATATTCCTAACAATCATGCCAGAAGGGCAAATGATAAATCTAAATACTGATAAAAATCCGAATTTATAAAAATCTTAACAGTCATGGTTACTGAATACTAATATTAGCATAAAGGTTGTAGTTCTAATAACCTTGTTATTCTAATAACCTTGTATTCTAATAGCCTTATATTATTTTAACTTTTTATATTCCCTTTTTATTTACCAAATTACTAAGTTAACTTTTTATAGCCCTTGGCTTATAGTAACCATTCTAACTGTTTTGTGTAATTGTATTAGTTTCTTAATTATTGCCCCAGATGTAATGTTGAATTTTCTATTGTAATTTAGGATATATTGCATGAAATCATTCAATATTCACTTTCAAAACTAAAACAGTTTATACTAACACTGTTGATACATTTCATACTAATTTAGCTACAGTTGGATGAATATTTAATGGAACAAAGTAAATCAAAGTACCTTTTAAAATGAATTGGGAATTTAATCTGCATGACAAAATTTTTATGACCACATTATTACAGTATGATGGCATGCCCTATGATCCAAATATGGAATTATTTATTGCTTCATTAGCCTTCAAGATTTTGTTCTTTGGGTTGTGGGCTCCTTCCCAACTTGCTTGTTTTCTCAATTTTAGGAGACTATTAATAATTCTTGTCCATTTTACGCAAATACGTAGTCAAATGAAAAAAGCTTATACCCACAAGTCTCTGCTTGCTGTGTGGAATGAGAAAACAATAAAACACAATTTGTTTTATATTATCTATTTTCTAATTACATTGTCATATTTGGAGATTTTTAGGCATAGGCTTTTAAGGAAAAAAAATATTTACCTGTTGTTTCTAACAAGCATTGTCATTTTTATTTAAAAGAAGTTTGAGGATATTTTTGAGAAAGTATTTGGAAATAGAAATTAAAATCTCAAAATAACTTTTTATTGCATGGATGAGACTTATTAATGTCTACCTCAATAAGCAAATCATTTAAAATTTTTTCATATATATTTGCTACCCTTTTGTTTTGATTGCTTAAATAGCCAATGAATGAAGATGAACAAGGATTTACATGAATTTTAACTTGATTTTTGTCTCCTGTGAAATAAATTCATATTTACAAATTTTGATTATCAGAAATTAGACAATTATTTTGAAAGACCGAGGATGACAACTTCGGCACCTCACCAAGGAGTCAAAGCGTAGTTAATGTGGATTTGTCATGAGTGACATCATTGTGTTCTATATTTAGAATTGTATTGTGACTACTTTAAAGCCTGTTATGCAATAAAGTTCTTTGTTGTTTTTGGATATTTTATTTTAGAACTATTAGCATTAATAACAGTTTGAAGTAGTTTCCACAATACCTGTGGATTTTATCCTACTTTTGTTTTACGTTCAAATCAATTTTAGTTGCTTTACTCAACTTCGTTGCTACTGATGCATTCACTAAATTGTGGGTTAGCAGATCTTGTACTGAACTGAATTTAAAAACAAGCATCTGTCTCCACTTAAAGCTCTGAAAATGCAAATTGTTCTTTGCATTTATTAAACACTTCCCTACTTAACAGAGTAGAAATGGATAATACTTTCTTAGAAGATACACTATGACCAATGAACTTTTTTCAGTAGCTGTAAATGATAACGTGTATCTGAGTTCCCAAAACACATTTCTGTAGGAATATCAACGCCTTATTTCTCTAAGCATCCAAGTGCCTGTGCTTGAGTACAAAGCAACTTATGAAGAATATAGTAACCAGATGTTTGATCTCTTAGTTTTCTATTAAGCCATTCATAAGAAATGAGTAGAATGGTAACAGGAAAATGATTGTTTTTTAAAGTTTTTATTTAATATAAAATTTTGATATGCTATTTTTATTGATGAATACAGGTGTTTTTTAATTTCTTGATCATTTTATTTAAAATTTGCTTTGATTACTATGCATATAAAGCCAGTAGTTTTTTACTCTTAAAAATACTTTTTAAAACATTTGCAAGTTATACTTTGCATTATATATAAACTTAATTCTACTTAAATAAAATTAATTTATTTTAAATATTTAGGTGTCAGACAAAGAGAAAATTGACCAACTGCAAGAAGAACTTCTGCACACTCAGGTAATTCTGATGAGTGGAAAAAAAAAAAGAGAGACTTTTTCTTATACTCTAATGTAAGTTTGGTGATGTGAAAAATTTATTTTTTTAACAAAGCAAAATTTGGAATGGTTTAATGAAAGAACCTTATTATCAATAGATGCAAAAAATGGAAAAGCTAATTGAGAAATAAGGAATAAGGAAGGAACTTGGTAAGCGTGGTTAACTCATTTATGTGTAAAAACCTATTTTTGAATGAACCTTGTGATTCTAATTTTAAAGAAAAATACTGTGGGAAAAAAATGGAGGACAGTGGCTTGTCCTTCTGTAAACCTATTCCTGCATTTTTACACTGATAGGCTAAGTAATTTAAGTAACAGTTAAAGAAATTGGAGTTGAGTCTACCACAGTTCTAGTGAGCCCTCAGGAACTTTTCTCTTTGCTTCTCTAAAGCCCAAAACCAGTCAGACAATAACTTTTCTAAAGGTATTATTGGCACTGCTCTGAAAAGCTATTCTCTTATAGTCCATGATAAAATTATTATTTTAAAGACCTGTTATTCGTGCAATGTAACGAGTAGATAACATTCTAGTGCAAAATTGTCCTATCACCCACTTAATCATTAGGTATTCTATCTAGATAACAATGATATGTGGTAATCAAGAATTTTTTTGTGCTGGCCCAGTGGCGTAGCGGTTACGTGTGCGTGCTCTGCTGCCGCCACCCAGGATTTGGATCCCGGGCGTGCGCCAATGCACCACTTGTCAAAGCCGTGCTGTGGCGGCGTTCCATATAAAGTAGAACAAGATGGGCACAGCTCTTAGCCCAGGGCCAGTCTTCCTTAGCAAAAAGAGGAGGATTGGCGACAGATGTTAGCTCAAGGCTAATCTTCCTCGCAAAAAAAAAACAAAGTTATTTTTTTAAAATTAAAAAGACTTATCTTGAGTCTTTCAGGGAAAAAAAACACAGCAAGGGGCAATCTAGATGAAATTAAACAACTAGTATATTTTGAGTCATAGGTTTCATTAATAACTATGCATTGTTTCTCATACCTGACCATATGTAAGAATCACCTGTGCTTTGGGCATCACCATATATGTCTTTTAAGGCTTCCCAGCCAGGTCATTCCAATCTGCAGCCAGAGTTTAAGAATCATTGATCTTGAATTGTGGTCTCTGGAGCAGTGACATCAGTATCCTTTGGGAACTTGTTAGAAGTGCAAATTATTGGCCTATTCCAGACCCACTGAATCAGAAACTCTGGGAGTAGAACTCACAATCTGTATTAAAAGCCCTCAAGTGATTCTATGCATCCCTAAGTTTGAGAATTATTGGTCTAGAGCTTTGGAGGATGGCCCAGTAGCACATCTCTGCAGGGTGGCTATAGATTGGCACCTGTAGCAAAGAAAGTTTCCATCCCAGAAAATGTAGACCCCATAATTGATTCCATAGTTACAAAGAAATGAGCCATTGGAAATCCTGCCGCCCTTGTATATCCATTGATATCAACCCTTCAACTTGTGCAGTTGTAGTTGTCAGCAACTGGGCATTGACACAAACATCGTATGGAGAATTGATATAATAAACCATGGGGTTATCTATATCAGTGATGTCCAATAGAAATATAATACAAGCCTCATCTGTTATTTTAAATTTTTACATTAAAAAAAGGGAAAAAGAAATAGGTGGGATTGATTTTAATAATGTATTTTATTTAACCCAGTAGATCCCAAGTAGTATCATTTCGACATGTAATTAGTATAAAAAATATTAATGAGATGTTTATTTATTGAATCATAGAAATATGTTGTGTATTTTACACTTAACAGCACATCTCGATTCAGTCTAGCTGCATTTCAAGTGCTCAATGGCTACATGTGGCTAGTGGCTGCCATATTAGACAGCAAAGATCTAATTCTTAGATACTACCAGAATTTTGTTGTATATACTATTCCTACATATAAATGAATGAGTTATGGAAAATTTGTTTATAGTGGAATCTAGCCTATAGTTCTACCTGTCACATACTATATAGTTCAACTACATTGTTCTTCTTTAATTTGGCTTAAGTTGAACATTCTCTGAAGATGGAACCATGATTTCCTGTTACTTACTTTGTTCTGGGAAAATCACAACAACCTAAAACATTTTCTAAGAAATATTTTCAGTTGTTAAAGGCATGATATTATAAGTTGGATATAAACATTCTCCTGGTTGTAGGAAGGAGTAGTTTTTGATAGTTTTCTGAACATTGTGAATGTTTAGAGAAGAAATCATAGTGTAAAAACTGAGAAGGCCAATTAGAAAAAGATCAAATTGATTTGAGAAGAAATGTGTGTAGCCAACCCTCTACTTTGGCAAAAACAATCTGTCTAAACATATTAGTCTTCTTTAAATCTGTTTTTATATCAAAATGTCAAAAATTAGCGTGTAATCTCTGGCCACGGAAACTTACCAAAACTTGGAAGTTTGAGCCCTCGACTCAGACTTACATTCAAAAGTCTGTGTTCTTGGGTACACTACCAAGCATTCCTAACCTCAGGTTCCTAACCTATATAGCCTTTGCCTCATGTGAAGGCTTAAAGGACTTATTGCAGGTGAATCGCTTAGTAAAGAGCCTGTCATATAATGCATGCTTGGGTACTGCTAGCTATTATTATTTTATAACATATAATTTTAATCAAAACATTAAATAATATGGAGAATGGGAGAAATTTGAATTTTTGTCAAATGTCCCTGTAACGAAGATTTAAAATTTTGATATAATAGGAAATATTGCTTCATAGAGTGTACTTAAAAACTTGCTTCTTTAAATTCTTACCTTGTGGTATTTTTAAATAATTTAATTTCTTCAATGTAAATAGTGAAGAATTTTCCAAATAAAATGCCATATTATAATAGAAAACTATAATCAATTTGACCATTTGTCAATGGCCAAATGATATTGAATATTATCTCATGGTCATATTGATAATATGACCATGAGATATTATCAATATGGTCATGAGATAATAGTCATAATTTATTCTATCCTCTGAACATTTTCATAGGAGGTGTTTAGATGAAATAATTCATTTTAAATAGTCAGGACATACAACTTTTGAAAGATTTTAATTTAGACTTAATTAGTGTTAATTATTAACCTATCTTTTTCTTATATAGTTATGTGTTTTATTTTGTTGCAGTTGAAGTACCAGAGAATCTTGGAACGGTTAGAAAAGGAGAACAAAGAATTGAGAAAATTAGTATTGCAGAAAGATGATAAAGGCATCCATCATAGAAAGCTTAAGGTATTTTAAGTTTATCTTAATTTGTTAATTCTTAGAACTTTACCACTTGACATTGTGCGTTCATCAATACTAGTTTTTAAGGAAGCGTAAAGTGTTCTGTCATCCTTTTCTTTCTAACCTGATTTCATTGGGAGATAGGGACAGCTCTTCCTGTATTAAGACATTTCACAAATTGTAGTCTCCAAACATTTGTTTTATATTATGCCCATAAAATGTTTATTCTTTTGAGTCATTTCTCATGAATCAATTTATTTTTATGAAATACCTAGTTTATCTTTAGGCTTATTTAATTTCTATTAAATCTACAGATTTAGATTATGAGCTATAAAATCACAGTTGTGAGTTGATAGACGTTAAAATATGACTTATCGTCACTGCCTTACTTTTATTTCCAGTGAGTGGTTAGGCTACTTTCTTCAGTTTTAAAAGAGTGAACATTTTTTTCTGGAAGATTCCTTAGGTGTTTAAAGAATTTTTGAAAAAACATATGCTGGTATTGTTATCATCAACACATTGGTAGTTAGCATTATCAATAAATTAAATCTTATCTCCCCCCCAAACCAAGCTGTATGTGCTAAATTAAATTGAAGTAATCCTTTTAAGTTAGATCTCATATAAGTAAACAGAATTTGTGTGTAGTAAAACTACAATAAGTCATGGCACATGCATTCTGTAGCCAAGGTGCAAAGATATATAGTTACACTTTAACCAACATGTATTAGTGGTTTGGACGCTAAATCATGCCTGCATAAAACAAATAAATAGTATGACTTTATTTGCAAGTCACACGTGTCAGTTGAAAAAAAGTCCATGTCCAAGTGTTAACATATATTGAGAGTTTACCTCAGAAACAATATTTTCTCTCATAAAATGAAATGGTGATGAAAATTTGAAAAAATTTTTGTTTATTTTTAGGTGAATGGGACACAATTGCTTTCCATTTAATTATTTCTAGGTGTTAAGGGATGAAAGGAATCATAGGCCCTCATTTTGTTTCTACCTGGCATTAAAACTTTAATTGTTAAATCCTTGATAGCAACCTCTTTTTCCAGGCCTGTTTATTTGTTCATTTATTCATCCAGCTTGAAGCTTGAAGCTTGTTATGTGCAAGGCGTCATGTTCAATCCTGGTTCTACTGAGAGAAAGAATACAGGATGTCTGTCCCCGCTGCTCTCACAGTTGAATCTGCCCAGGTGTCAGAGTACACTTAATCATTCTTACTGATTTAAGTCTTCTTGGTGATGCTTTCTCTGCTTCTATCTTTTCTTCAGTCTCTCTCCCTTTCTCTTTCTCCTCCTCCCTCCCTCTCCCTCCCCTTTTCCCTCTCCCTCTCTCTCTGGCACACACACCAAACTTGGTAGAGGATGATTTCCTTTCAGTTGGTCACCTGACCCCTTATTTGGTGTTTTTGGTGTTAGTGGTCTTCCTTTGTTGGGCATTTAATGTTAGCTCTTCAGTATTAAGTAATAACTTCCCTCTTTTACCATTTCATTAGAAGGTTAGGAAATCCTGAGTTAATGTACTTTATTAAATCAGTGTATCTCTAAATCAGATAAATTGGATGAGAAGAAATGGAATTTTATTTTGTACTGTTTTACTTTTTACTGTGATAATGTATTTATATAATTAAAAAAGAATACAGTGATTATGGAAAAACATTTTGAACTTATCAGCCTTTCTTCTCTTGACACATCTGTGGTATTTTGTTTTTGTTTTCACTGTTTTATATTTTTATTTTTTAAATTTTATAGAAATCTTTGATTGACATGTATTCTGAAGTTCTTGATGTTCTGTCTGATTATGATGCCAGTTATAATACTCAAGATCATCTGCCAAGAGTAAGTGAAAAATTAATACACAGTGAACTTGCCCATTAGCAAAATAGGTGCTGAAAAAATTAAATGTAATTATACACATAAACACAATATGTACACATACAGATACACACATAGGCATAGACAATGACATACAGTTTTTACCTATATAATATTATTCCTGTGTTCTAGGTGGTGTCTTAAGCATCGAATGTTGTTTGATTCTTTATTTTGGTTCATTGGTTTACTTATATTTATGTGTAATGAAGGAAGGCTATCAGATATTTGGCATTATGTATTCATAATATTCATGATATTAGAATATCTGAATAGTGGATTAAGTTAGGCACGTGAGTGAAATTTAACATCATAGAACTGAACATGTCTTTGTAAAGAGTAAACTAGCTATGGCAAAGATTTGTGGAACGTTAGTGATCTGGTTTTAGAAATAGTGGTTTAAATTAGCACAAGTTTTTAGCAAAAATTTGACTATAAACAATGGATCCAATTAATGTTTTGCTGTTTATGTTTTCAATATGTATACATGTATCAATCATCATATTTTTATGGATGATATTTTAAAAATCATTTTTTTAACCATAGTTATTTTAAAAGACTAAAAAATCTCAGAGCAGCGTTCCAAATCTATTTAAATTTAATTTGCTATTGAAAATTAAGAATAAATGTTATTTGTTTTGTGGTAAGGTGGTTGTGGTTGGAGATCAGAGTGCTGGAAAAACGAGTGTGTTGGAAATGATTGCTCAAGCACGAATATTCCCACGAGGATCTGGGGAGATGATGACACGTTCTCCAGTTAAGGTAAGAAAATAGGCCATCTGAATGAAGTTCCTCAGGAAAGTAATCATTTCAGTAAGGTTTGTTCACTGTGTTGAAATGAAGAATTTTAACTGAAGAAAGAATTGGTACATAGCATTTGGCATTATCCTATTGTAGAAATCAGTGGGAGGTACAGCCAGGAGACCAGTGTAACAGGAGCTGAGTGAATGAGGACTGAGTGATGGGAGGGGAGGGCAGAGGCGCAGTGGGAGGCCTGGCTATACTGAGCCGTCATTAGGCCTTTGGATTTTGTTCTGAGTAAGATAAGTGAGAGGCTGAATGAGAATGAGAATATTGAAAGTGGAGTCAGTAAATATAGATAATTTTCTAGGTTTACTGTAAAAAAGAGTAGAGAAATGGGTCAGTAGCAGTTGTAATATATTGTGTCAAGGGAAGGTTTTTAAAGATACCTATATGCTGATTGTAATGATCTAGTTGAGAAAACAAATGGTGATGCAAGAGAGAGGGGACAATAGCAAGAGCAAAGTCACTGAGGTGAAAGAGGCTGGGACTCAGCATACAAGCCGTCTGTACATAGAAGCACCGACAATTCAGGCATCGTCACAGGAGGAAAGTCAATGGCTACACAGTCTTTCAACACCTATTTATTAGTGCTTAATGCATGCTACCAGTGTTCTAGGCAGTGTGTTGGTAAACAAAACAAAGATCCTTGCTAATGAGGATATATTCTAGTAGAGGGAGATGGACAATAAATAATAAACATAATAAATAACTAATTTACATAGAATGTTAGAAGGTGGTAAGTGTTGTGCAAAAAAGAAAAAGTGGCAAGGGGAATGGGGGGGGCCAGGGTTTTGGTAGACTGCATTGCAAAGGTGACATTTGAACAAAGACTTGCAGAAAGTGAGAGAGGGGGTCATGTGGATATCTAGTACTAGAATGTTCTCTGCAGAGAGAGTTAGTGCAAGGCCCCTGAGGTGGTTAGTGGCTATCACGTTCGAGGCCTGTGTAGCTAGAGCAGAGTGAAGAGTAGTAGGTGATGAGGTCAGGGATAATGGGGAGCAGGGGGGAACAGATCATTAGGGCCTTGTAGATCGTTGGGTAGGCTTTGTTGTTTTTTTGTGTGTGTGTGAGGAAGATCGGCCCTGAGCTAACATCTGCCAATCCTCCTCTTTTTGCTGAGGAAGACTGGCCCTGGGCTAACATCCATGCCGATCTGCCTCCACTTATATGGGACGCGGCCACAGCATGGCCTGACAAGCGGTGCGTTGGTGCGCGCCCGGGATCCAAACCAGAGAGCCCCGGGCCGCCGCAGCGGAGCGCGTGCACTTAACTGCTTGCGCCACCGGGCCGGCCCCAAGCTTTGGTTTTTATTTGGAATAAATAGGGAGCCAGTGTGGAGTTTTGAGCAGAGTAACAACATTACTTTTTAAAAGGCTTGCTCTAGGGGCTGGCCCTGTGGCATAGTGGTTAGTGCCCGTGCTCTGCTGCAGGCGGCCCGGGTTCGGATCCCAGGCGTGCACCGATGCACCGCTTGTCAGGCCATGCTGTGGCGGCGTCCCATATAAAGTGGAGGAAGATAGGCACAGACGTTAGCTCAGGGCTGATCTTCCTCACAAAAAAAAATTAATAAAAAAGGCTTGCTCTAGCTGCTGTGTTGAAAACAGATGTAGACAAGATGGGTAGAACCGGGGAGACCAGGTGATTGAAGTGTCCAGGTGGTACTTGAGCCAGGGAACTTGTGGTGAAGGTGATAAGAAACGGTTGGATTGTGACCTATTCTGAAAGTAGAATCAATAGGAATTTCTTGATAGATTTGATATGGAGAGAGAGAGAGAAAGAAAGTCATCAGGATGCTCTGAGGTTTTTGGCCTAAATGAATTAAAGGCTGTAGTTTGCATGGGAAAGTCTGGAGTGAGTTAGGTTTAGGGAAGACGATCAGGAGTTTTGGACTTGCCTGAGGGATATTAACAAATGAGCAGTTGGATATACAAGTTTGGAGAGAGGTCCGGGCTAGAGACGTAAATTGAGGAGTCATAATCACATCTCCAAAGGTGGTATTTAAAGCTATGATCTTGAAAGAGGGAATGGCTAGTGACAGAGGAGACACAGGACGAAGGATTGCTTCCTAGGCACTCCCAACATTAAGAGGCTGAGGGAAGAGGAAACAACAAAGGAGCTGGTGAAGGAGCAACTGGTGCGCTAGGAGGGAGCCAGAGCAGTGTCCTGGGATCAGCTAAAGAAAACATCCAGGAGAAGGGGGTCATCATGGAGGTCAGCTGCTGCTGCCGGATCAAGGAGGGTGAAGACTGGGAATTGATCACTGAATTTACCAGTGGAGACGAGTACGTAGGCTGTGTGGAAGTTTCTTCTGATGGCTTCCGCTTCCTCAGTGAAATAAGAAGCTAGATTATCAGCTGTTAAGTAAAGACAGGGGAGAAGGCATTGAAGATTGAAGCAAGAAGGAAAAGTGTGAAGTCTTTTCTAGGCAAGTGGTGACTCCAGGAGTGTGTTGACAAGGGAAGTCAAGAAATATTAGGATTGCTGAGTTGTACTGAAGTCGCGATTAAGGTCTGTGGACATAAATGTAAAGGGCGTCTGTATGGTTGTGGCTTTTCCTTTGTGCTCAGCTGGTGGGTGTAGGTATAGAGTATTTGGAGAGTTGGGAAATTGAAATCACTGAGAATGGAGGCCAGAAAAGTGGTAGAAAGTGAGACAATGAGGCTGAGGCTAAAATCTTCTGGAAATGAATTCTGTCTCTAACTGCCGCAAGCAAGGACGGGTGTTGGGCGGACAGTCCAGTGTGATTCATAGAGAGCACCGTTTTGGGTCTGGCTGTGAATTCAGCCATGTTGTGTGAAGCTAGTTTCTTTTTCATTTCTCTGTGGTATTGTGTGAATGTGCCACACTTTATAGATCCATTTTACTATTGATGGGCATTTGGGCTACTTCTAATTTAGGGAGGAAAAAAAACCGATTACACCTCATATCATGCTCTATAATCAGTTGTAAAAACGTTGTAAACCCACCTTTTACATTACCAGCGCCCTAATTGTAGTGGCTGTGGATGATGTTATATCTCAGGAAGGAGTTAACTTTCTTCTGGTAGACAGATGGAGCATGGACAGATTTCCTTGAAACAGACAAGACTCGTCTCTTTCCAGTTTGCCATTACTCCCCTAGTATTTATCAGGGCTTCTACTCCTTGATTGATCTTGAACTCCAGATTTTTGTCTCCTTTGAACAGTGAGATTGCCAGAATCCTGACTTAGCGTTTCAGCCTCTTTAACAGCGTCTTTTTGCTTGGTTTCTTAATGTGCAAGTGGCTTGAAGGGAAACTGTGCACAGACTGTAGGGCTCAGTTTTTGGAGAGTCGTTTCTGCTGTCCATTTTTCTCCGGGACCTTGGCACCTTAAATTGTGGCTGCTTGATAACCCTGATTTTGTCTCCTTAACCCAGTGAGACTGCTGCAAGTTTTAGGCTTTTCTCAAATGCCTTGAGAGAAAATAGCTGCAGGTGTATCCCCCCAAAATCCTTTGGGGTCTTGGACTCGTAGTCCAGGCTGCCATGGTTGCTCGCTGATGCTTTCAAACAGCTGCTGTTTGTTTGTTATCTAGCCTCATTAGCTAATCTCCCTAGAGGGAGTTGTATTTTAAAAGTAAAATCAGATCATTATAGAGAAGCCTGAAAAGTTACCATTGAAAAGTTAAGGAATGTGATTTTAGAAGTTCTCTTGAAACTACTGACTGTTAATATATAAGCTGTTAGAGAATTTCTTACTCAAATGTCACTTTTGGGGTGAAGGCTGCCTTAGCTCTCCTATAGTCAGTACTGCTCTCTTCTGTGGCACCCTAGGTTTTGCCACAGTGTCCTATTATCTCTGTGTGTATTTCTCCCAGGATGTAGTGAGGTCTAAAACAGGGACAGTCAGTTCTTTGTGTTTCTAATAACATCTGACACATAGTTAGCTCTCGATAAATTGATGTCAAATAAATGAATTGTCCTTTACCTAAATTTACCTTTGAAGTTAAAGGCAAGATTTTCTTTTGGTTTTTCAAGTTTGAGAGTGATGGTTTTATGTTCAGTACTTCGTATAACATTAACTATGAGAGAGAGGCAGCAGCATTTTATGTCATGAAAGATGCAAAGTAGCCAGCAGTCTTGTTGGGCAATCACAACACGGATGACAGATGTATGAACAGTACAGAAACAGAATTCTGTGGTCTCTCTGTCACCTTGTTGACAGCTTCCGAGGATGCTTTTCATGTGTAGTGTGAAGGGACGCCTGGATTTGTGCAATGCGGTGGCCCTGTCTAGACCACGTAGGTGCAAAGGGAATTAATATGAACTGTAAATGCATCGTTACATCACAATTTTCTGTTAATTTCAGGTGACTCTGAGTGAAGGTCCTCACCACGTGGCCTTGTTTAAAGATAGTTCTCGGGAGTTTGATCTTACCAAAGAGGAAGATGTAAGTAGAATTCATCTGAAGTTCACATGTGTAACTTTATAACCTGTGTAAGCTTATAAAAGACAATTAAATGGAATATTTTTAACTGAAGATTTTCTTAGAATTTTGTTGTTTTCCATTAATAGCTTGCAGCATTAAGACATGAAATAGAACTCCGAATGAGGAAAAATGTGAAAGACGGTTGTACTGTCAGCCCTGAGGTAAGCGTTGCAATTCATTTCAATAATTTTTTATGGAAATCCACTGTTTACAATTTGAAATAAAGCATGATATTGGCAATGATGTTTAGATTGCAGCTGTTCCATGTATACATTTTTTTTTAATATTCCAAATGTATCATTTTGTAGGTAATTTTCTAGAATAATTACTTTTAGAGTCAGAAAAAGAATAACATTTTTCTGAGCACAATATCTGAATGGATGAGATATAGAATATTCAGACTATGTATCACCAAAAAATTCCTAACAAACTGCCCCACAAAATTAATATTTTTTTTTTCCTGAGTAGACCATATCCTTAAATGTCAAAGGCCCTGGACTACAGAGGATGGTGCTTGTTGACTTACCAGGTGTGATTAATGTAAGTATATACAAAACGTGTATTTTATCGTATTCCTGTTGTGGAAACATTTATAATGACATGTAAAACCTTTTTCTTCAAGACTGTGACATCAGGCATGGCTCCCGACACAAAGGAAACTATTTTCAGTATCAGCAAAGCTTATATGCAGAATCCTAATGCCATCATACTATGTATTCAAGGTAAATCTTACCACAAGATTTTCATTGCACTGATATGCTTCCTTCTGTAGCAACCCAGGCTTTGCTCTAAATGTGCACGTCACATAAACATACAAAATGAATACATTTTGCTCTCTCCTCCTACTCGTTCATTTTATTAGTAAGTAGAATTGAAGTTGAGAATATTTTTTTAAATTTCACTGTAGGCATCATAGAAATTTTTATTGGCTAGAATTTCTTTTTATAACTAAGGTAAATGTATTAAAATATTTTTACTATAATGTGGACACAAGGATGTAGCTTGTGGAAGTTTTTAAAATGCACTTTGCTGTTATTCCAGTGTCACTTTTCATTTTTTTTCAGATGGATCCGTGGATGCTGAACGCAGCATTGTTACAGACTTGGTCAGTCAAATGGATCCTCATGGAAGAAGGACGATATTTGTTTTGACCAAAGTAGACCTGGCAGAGAAAAATGTGGCTAGTCCAAGCAGGGTAAGGGCAAGTTCTTTACTGTGAGAGAAAACAGTCTTTGTACAAGCTCCAGCTATGACCAGGACTGGTTGTAAAAAAAAAAAGAAAGAAAGAAAGAAAACTCATTGTGGAATACTATACTTTATCAGAGTAGTAGTGAGATTTTTCTTGGTTCTCATTAAAAACAAAGTATCGGAAAGTTATAGTAAATTACTTAAGTGCAATTTTGAGGTATAAATAAAATTCCATGATTATAGTTACAGTCACGTGCCACATAACGATGTTTCAGTCATGATGGATTACATATACAACAGTGGTCCTGTAAGATTAGTACCGTGTAGTCTATGTGTATAATAGGCTACACCATCTAGGTTTGTGTAAATACGCTCTATGATGTTCACACAATGGCGAAATTGCCTAACAAAGCATTTCTCAGAATGTATCCCCATCATTAAGTGACACATGACTAGTTTGCTTCAGAAATACTTAAATTGCTAATATTGCTTACTCTAATTTAAATAATTTTGTATGCTGACAGTCGTTAACCTCATTTGTGGTGTTTCTTTTTTTTTTAATTTTTTTTTTAGTTGATGTTCTTTTTTTTTTTTAAAGATTTTTTATTTATTTATTTTTCCCCCAAAGCCCCAGCAGATAGTTGTCTGTCATAGCTGCACATCCTTCTAGTTGCCGTATGTGGGACGCGGCCCCAGCATGGCCAGAGGAGCGGTGCGTCGGTGCGCACCCGGGATCCGAACCCGGGCCGCCGGCAGCACAGTGCGCGCACTTAACCGCCAAGCCATGGGGCCGGCCCTAGTTGATGTTCTTAAATTAGTATAAAACTAGTGACAGTGTAGATTCCTCTTGGACCTATATATATGCCATTTTTCTTTTTGCAGATAAACATTACCTTTCTTAACTGATGGAAGACTGTATAGCAGATATTTATAATAGAGAAGGCATTGCATTGGGTGTCAGACCTCAGCATTCTTATCCTTGCTCCACCACCAACTAGCTGTGTGTCTTTGAGCAAATCTTGTTTTCTGCATCCGGTCAATGCACAACCCAACCTGTTACTCTAGTTGATCTCTAGGGTGCTTTCATTTCTGAAATTCTATGACTTCTATACGTGGTGTTCAGTGTCCCTCCTCTCCTCCTCCTGTAACAAGGGAAGAGTTTTATTTCAAGGAGACATTGTGTATATGTCTTAGTAGAGTGCAAGTCTTGACTTAGGACATGCTCTCTACTTAATTGTAAAGGCATAAGGTAGTGGCTAAGAGTACAGAATCTGTACCCAGATTGCTTGGTTTCAAATCCCAGCTCTACTGTTTGCTAACTGTGAAACTTTGGGTAAGTTAACTTTTTCAGTGCTTTAGGCTTCCTCATCTGTTGGAAATGAAGATATTAAGGGTACCTTCTCATAGGTTGTGAAGGTTTAATGAGTTAAATTTTTGTTGTAAAGCTTGAACAGTGCTTGAAATAGTGCTATTGATTGAATAGTGCTTGGCTAAAAGGTATTATATACATGATGGCTGTCATCTGTTATTATTATATTTTTATCCCCGATAGAACAACTTCAGACTCTAAGTACCCGTCCCTCATACTACTGCTTAGATTTCTCTCCTTCCACTTAAAGCTTTCTGGGATGATGCCTCTGTGTCAGGGGTTCCCAAGACAGACTACCCCTAGGTTCACTGATTCTCTAGAAGGACTGACAGGACTCATTACTTAGTCATGCTTACACTTATGATTTATTAACAATGATAGTATAGAAAGCAAAATCACAGAGGGAAAAGGCTGGCTCCAAAGAGATGACGTCTGGAGGAAACCAGGTTCAAGTTTCCAAGAGTCCTCTCCCAGTAGAGTCACACAGGATGCGCCTAACCCCCCAGCACCAGGTTGCTCATTACAGACTCAGCACCTAAGGTTTTTATTGGGGGCTGGTCATGTAGGCACCCTCAAGTACAAAAATTCCAGACGCCCAAAGGAAAGCAGATATTTAGCATAAACTACATTGCTTGCACAATGAGCCACTATATTTAGGGAAATTTTTATATCAATGTAGGGAATTGTTTACCAGTTAAATTCCCAGATGCCAGCCAAGGACAAGCAGGCCTTTCTAAGGACAGCAGTCTCAGACCTGCTGTGTTAACTCTTTTTCCCACAGCCTCCAAGACCTCCACTTTGCCTTATTTTTAATAGTAAGGCCAGCTGTGGCAGCATGGGTCCTGATATGGAGAATGGGGGAAGTGAGATAGAAACAAATTTCTGTGACTCTTTCCCATTTCTCTTCATTCCTTTCATTTCGTTTTCGCTTCTCTAGGGTAGTAAGTTTTTATTTCTTTTGAAATGCGGTTGAGGCTTATATCAGGCTTTTTTTATACCAAAGATTCAGCATTAGCTTAGGGATGTAACTTGTCTAAAAGGGGTTCTTACCTCAGTAGTAATCTGAATGGGCTTCTGGGAAGTTCCTTCTGTAAAAGGAACTCTTACATTGTGTGTGGATGGTAGATTTCTGTGCAAATATGCAGTTTTCTGGGAACAGAGTCTATAGTTTTTATTATATTTAGAAAAGGATTTTTGACCTTACAAGAATTGAGAACCAATGAATCCAAATATTTAAGGGAAAAAAAAGGAATAAAAAAAGACAGTTTAACTTGGTTAGAATTTAGACACTTGAAGAAGAGTATAATAGTATACTATTATAGAAGAGTATAATAATAGTAGCCTCCATTTATTGAGTGCTCTGCGTGCCTTACACACTGTGTTAAGTATCATATCTTATATGATCTTCTCAGCAACCATTTTGAAAAAGTTAAGTAGCTTGCTTAAGGCCACAGAGCCAGTAAGAGGCAGAGCTGAAATTCAACCTAAGACCTGCCTCCAAACACTATACATCATTCCAAGTTTTAATTTTGGTTAAACTTTTGTTTTAATAATACTTTTTTTAATATGGTAAGATTAAATGTATATATTTTTTCCTCAAATAATTGAAATGCATTTTAATGCTTTTGTACAGATTTATATGTTTAAACACATACATGTTTAGCATTATTAAATTTGCTTTCTAAATAGTATATTATGCTTTAAAAAATTATGTAAACCTACATCTCACATTTATTTTTCCCACTTTAAAAAATAGATTCAGCAGATAATTGAAGGAAAACTCTTCCCAATGAAAGCTCTAGGGTATTTTGCTGTTGTAACAGGAAAAGGTATGCAAAGATGGATTATTATAATTTGTTTTTGTTGTTTTCAAATAGTGAAGATTAATTTTTGTAGTGAGAACTTCACCATCGTCTCTCCCTAGGAAACAGCTCTGAAAGCATTGACGCTATAAGAGAATATGAAGAAGAATTCTTTCAGAATTCAAACCTCCTAAAGTAGGTCTCTTGCTTAAATATTTGAAGATTTTATAGTGAGGGGGTAGCTTAAACTGTTTTCACTTAAAAGTTTTGTTTCTGAGCCATTAGTTTAACATTGAATTTCCAGAATTTTTCCCAAATAGTGGTCAGCATCTAATAAGCAAGTCCTCAAGCTACTCTGAGAGAATTGGGAGCAGTTTATCACATGGTACAATACATGCTGGCATAATAAACTGCCCCTTGGGATGTGGGCCCTGAAGGACAACAGGGATACCTCTGAAGGTGTTTTACATAAAGTGATTTTTAAAACATCAACACTTATGTTTTAAAATGCGTGTACACATTGCTCTTTCCGTATTGGGGAAAGTTGGAGTGGGGAGTGGGGATGTCAAAGGGGGAGTATCCCTAAATAGCTATTGACAGAAATTGACAGAAAATAAGATAGTGGCAGAAAAGCAAAATGGAAGAGCTGAAGGGCAACTGAATTACATTAAAATTTTATATGTAGAGAGTCTCTTCAAATGGAACAGTTTAAGCTACCCCCTCACTATGTTTGCCTCTAAATTAGTATCAAGATAGTTCTTGCAAACATAGTTTGAGTATTTTCTGTTGGGAGGGGAGCTGACAAGCTTGTAGAACTGTGCTGCCAATACAGTTGTCACTAGCCTTGTGTGGTTATTTAAATTTAAATTAGTTAACATTAAATAAAATTAAAACTTCAGTTCCTCAGTCAGCACTAGCCACACATTTCAAGGGCTCAGTAACCTCATGTAGCTAGTAGCTACCATATTGGATATCTCAGATATAGAACATTGTCTTCGTCACAGAAAGTTTCATGAGACAGTGCTGGTATAAAATGTGTAAGTGGCTATTCTCATAATAAGCGCATTCTTAAACTTAGTGATAGTTTGTCCTTTTTGCCATTTTAATATACTTTAGCTCTTGTTATTTTTTTTATAGAACAAGCATGCTAAAGGCACACCAAGTGACTACAAGGAATTTAAGCCTTGCTGTATCGGACTGCTTTTGGAAAATGGTACGAGAGTCAGTTGAACAACAGGCTGATAGTTTCAAAGGTAAGTTGGATTTTTCAAATAAGTGAACAAATTTAGACATTTCATTAGCTGGCAATCTTAGGCAGCAATCAAATTCTTTACTCCCTTTCTTTAACAGTTGCTTTTTAGTTCATTTACTATTAGATAGTATGCAGAAAATGGAAAAAACACAAATCTTTACTTGTTGTACAAGAACAGGATTTTCCCTTTCAGGGGAAACATTGCTAGGAGCACATTGCAGAGTTTAAACGGATTAGGAAGTTTGCCGTAGTGTTTGGGAGAAAAAGGTTAATAAATTAGAACTCAGATTCCTTGTTTCAGCTGGAAAGAGAGGAAATGGGCTGGGAAACAGAACAGCCTGTGTGTCAGCTACATTGTACTAGTTCCTGAATCCCACTCTGTCCTGCTCCATGGCTTTGCTTCCACAGTTTCATTTGATGAGTGTATACCCACCTTCCCTTTTTCTACTTGGAAAGCCTACCTGTGTATCCCATTTAGTTCCTCAGCACCATTGTAAGTATTATTATTCTTCCTATTTTACAGAAGACAGAACTGAGGCACAGAGTGACTTACCTAAGTAATGCACCCAGCATCACACAGCAATAGATAATAGACCCAGGATTTGAATCTTGGTGGTATGACTCCAAAGTCCATGCTCTTAGCAGCTGCACTAAACTGCTTCAGCTGGGTGTTTTGTGGATTGAAAATGAAGAAACTAGAGTCAAGGAGATTAGTTTGGAAAACTATTGCAATAATGAGATTCTGAGATGTTGAGAGCCCAGAATACGCAGGAGTCATAGGTGCACACTCAGAAATTCCATTAATACAGAAGATATGCAAGATGACCTTTGACCACTGCCTCTAGAAAGAAAAAGAACCCTCAAACTTGAATATCTTTCTTTCTTCCTCAGCAACACGTTTTAACCTTGAAACTGAGTGGAAGAATAACTATCCTCGCCTGCGAGAACTTGACCGGGTAATATTTGTGTACTTCATGTATTTTGTATATATCTAATTTAATATTGTGTTCTAACAAAAGTTATGTCGATGAGCAAAATCTGGTAAGCTAGGTTGCTTTGGTTTTGACCATGGTTACTAATTTAGAGCTGCAAGAATAGATTTCCAGGAGCAGTTATCTCTTCTACAATAATTTAAAGTATTTACTACATAATATTAAAAAATAGGGATCATAGGATGTCAAAATAAGTGTTAAAAAAAATGTTTTCTGGGGAGTGCCAGCCCTGTGGCATAGCAGTTAAGTGTACGTGCTCTGCTGCTGGCGGCCCGGGTTTGGATCCCGGGTGCGCACTGATGCACTGCTTGTCAGGCCTTGCTGTGGTGGCGTCCCATATAAAGTGGAGGAAGATGGGCACAGATGTTAGCCCAGAGCCAGTCTTCCTCAGCAAAAAGAGGAGGATTGGCATGGATGTTAGCTCAGGGCTGATCTTCCTCACAAAAATAAATAAATAAATAAATAATGTTTTCTGAGAAGGTGAAAAATATTCTTTGACGGTCTTATAGAATTAACGTATTTATGTAATGTAAACTTTTTAAAATTATACATCAACTTTTTTACATTTTCAACATTTACCATGGAGAACTAGAGTGATTTAGTGGGACTTAAATATTGGTTTTCCTTGATTGTAAAGTGCCATCCATTATAAAACACAGCATCAGTTTACTGTTACACTAAATTAATATGTCCTGATGTTTTCACCTAACATTTGTTATGTGAAAGACTCATCTGAACAAATGTTAATGTGAAAAGCTGCATTCAAAATTGAGTGACTAAGGTAGACATGTGTCAGTTTCTTTGTCCTTGTCTGAATGTTGGCATTTCTACAAAAGGGACTAGAAGAGAAGAGTGTTATTGACTAGTCACGTGTGCTTCAAACCCGAGCTCAGCACGCTGGAATGTCAGAGGCCTTCCTTTTACTTGTCTCTGAAAATCATGGCAGGGCAAATTGACTATCTTATGAAAATCTTACTTATTTGTTTCTGTATTGCCTAGAATGAACTATTTGAAAAAGCTAAAAATGAAATCCTCGATGAAGTTATCAGTCTGAGCCAGGTTACACCAAAACATTGGTGAGTATTTGACCTTTTCTCAGAGACTTTACTATATGAATTATAATGAAATACTAAAATTTAGATTGATAAAGCAGTGATTTATTGTAGCCTTGGCTCATCCCCAAAACACTTAGTAAATAGGCAAGAACATAAAAATATGTCTTTTTGCAAAATCTAACCACTATTCTAGTCTAACCAATTAAGTATTTAAGTACAATTAATTGTATATTTATTAAGTATCTTTCAGAAAAGATATTCTGAAAGATAGCTTTCTTCATGCTCTTTTTAAATCTTGATTTGTCCTAGGCTTTTCTTTACTTTATACTTAATAAATACATAATTTTGATTTCTATAAAATTAGGCAAAAGTTTCATCAAATTGTGCTTTAGATAAATATCAGTCCATCAGAACTGCTTGCTCTTACTGGATTAATCATAGAGAACAAAACTATAGAGAAAATTGGTGTATAAAGGGAGAAGAGTGTATATTTTCAAGTTCTCATTTCTGAGTAAGAACACAGTTGATGCTTTTTATAATATGTGCCTAATATGTTTTGAGCAAATTACATTTCAAATTGAATCCTATTTGAGATTTTTTTAAATAGCAAGTAGATGCATCCTTTTGAAAAATGCTTATGCAAATCTCTTTCAAGGCAAACTGTCACCTTCAATTTATGTTTTATGTAAATTTTGGCACTCTTAAATTTGTTGGAATGAGGCACTGTAACCAAAACAGGTTCCGTGTACCTCAAGCAAGCTATGTATAAATAGCCTTGAAATTTTTAGCAGTCATATTTTAATTAACAAATTCCTTTTGCATAAATTACCTTTCTAATGAAGCCTATAATATTTTTAAGAATTTATCATTCTTGGGGCAGAACTATTCTTACTGCCATTCATTGTAAATATTTTCTGTACCTCTTCTGTTTACTCAGTTGAGGATGATCAAAATTGAGCCTGGACAGTAGAATCCAGAACTTAAGTTTGAATTCTGCATTGCTAGTTTCCCTTGGTGCCCTTTCTTCCTCAGCGGTAAACCATTTTCTCTCTTCAGGTGGTCAAAATCTGCCTATTTTTAATCTCCTCTCTTTATCCAAAAAAGAATTCTGATCTTATCTATACTTGTTGGCTGATTAATCAAATATATATAAAACACAACTTATTATCTTGGTTATTATTTGCATTTTAAGCCAGTTCTGTGGCTTTCTGTAAGCCAGTTAGCTTTTGAAGTTGCAAGAGATAGATAGGTGTGGGAATATACATATACACAGACACACACACGGAATGAATATACTACTACTTGCCTTACTAGGTTGTATGAGGATAATGTACCTAAAAAGTGATTTTTAAACTGTAATAACTAGTTATGCTGTTTATAGGAGGAAAATATGGAGCCTTTGTAAATTTCTGGCATCATCAAATGGAATGGTTAGTTTTGTTTGGACAGAGCAAGTCTGAAATCAAAGTAAACCTATGCTAAAGCGAGCCTTGAAAATAAATCTAATTTATTTAACACACAGGTGGCTGAAGGGCATTGTGAAGGGACGAGAAACCTGTATTGCCAGCTTGCCTGTTGAGAAGGCAAGGGAGAGAACTAGGACATCTGGCTACTAGAAATTTATTCTGTGAGCTTCTGGATCAGACAATTCTGTATCTTTTCATCAACTTTTTTTTTTCAGGCTCCGTGGCTAAACACAAACATAGATCAAAATAGCAGGGCCTAATCTTAACTCTTCATGCCACATTGAATTCAGCTGCATTGTACCCAAAACGTTTTATTTTTGTGACATAGTTGATGTCTTAGGGAGTATCATTTTGCTGCGTATGCCTTATGTGATATTTTAGGCTACGTGCCTAAGACATTATTTAAGTCACAGGACTGTTTGATCTATATTTGGTGATCTGGAAGCAGTGTTATAAGCATTTTATGTCCTAACATGATAGTGTATTTACTTGTAGACATTCTACTATACTTTAATTGTATTTTAAGGAAGTTATTGGGGTTTAGGTTTGACATATGATGCATTATAGTGAGAAGTAGGCTCTCAGCGTTTTCACACAATATACGTGATCATCAGGAATCAATTACTGACATTAAACAGGAGATATTGGTATGTCATTAACATTATGTAACCATCATTGTAGGTATGTCTCTTTTCATGTCATTTAGAAGGATAGCTGGCGGGATTTATAGTAATATACTTTTTTAAAAAAATGGTACCATGGCATGCATACAATTTTTGGTGAAAAGTGTTAAGTTTATTTTGTTGAAGTTAAAAGAATGAAAAGAAAATGAGAATGCACACTTGAGTCCGCTAACTCAGATTTGAGGACTCAAAAAAGGTTTCTGATATCATAATCTGGGAGTTAAAGGCTGAATAGGTGTTAGGTAAAGGCAGTGAGAAGAATATTGCAGAGGCCAGGAGGTGAGAGTAAGAAAGGTGACACAGGTAGCTGAAGGTGATTGCGTATGGCTTTAGCATAGGAAGAGGCAAGAGGCAGGAGATAGAACAGTAGATGTAAGCAAGATATAGATAATTAAGGGCCTTACAAGCCATGTTCAGAAGCTTGGAATTTATCCCATGAGCAGTGAGGGCCATTGAAGAGGTTTAGGTCAGATTTCCATTTTAGAAAGATCTTTGTAGTAGGGAAAATGGAATGTAGGTGGAGAAAACTGTGAGCAAGGAGACAGTTGGCTGTTGAAATAATCTAGACGAGAGGTGATAGCGGCTTGAATAGCGGCTGTGCAGGTGGAGAAGAGGAGACATTTTTGAGTTGAGGTTACCTAGAAGATGGAATTGACAGGATTTAGTGATTGGATGTGTGAGTAATGGAGAAGAATCAGTCAAATAGTGAGTACATTTATGTCCATAATTACATTGCTGGGAATCTATGGACATAAAGATATATTTGACAAAGATGAACACACAAGAATCTTCACCATGGTTTTGTTTATCAGTGTAAAAAAATTGAAAACTTATGTTTCCTATTTGGAATTACATAATATTTGATTTATCTGTAGCGTGGATTACTGTGCAGCCATTGAAAAACATAGGATATTGACATGGAATACTATGTACAATATACTTTTAAGTTTAAAAAAGTATAAAACAGTGTGTTTAATATGATCCACTGGTGTAAACACACAAATATTCATGTAGGCACTAAATTGTTTTAATGATAAATTAAGCTGTGAATAGTGGTTATCTACTGAAGGAGGAATTATGAAGGACTTCTTACTTTTTCTGTATTGTTTAAAATTATTAAATGGAGTAAGTCTCCTGCTTTAAAAGAAGAAATTTCCATTTTGAAACAATTTTTAATTAAAATGGAGTGTAGGTAAAGTTCCTGGAGATAAAGAGGGTAGTAAATAGAACTATAACGTTAATTGTATTTTGTATATTTGTGGTTTTTATCCCCGGATAATTGCAAAACTTAGGATAGAAAAGAAGTCTACAATTACAAAGAACATATGCTGGGGAATTGGTCCATGTAAGTAAGGGTAGTGGATGGTATAACCAGATGGAGTGGCCTCACAGTACAGGGGTTTTTCCATGCGAGTTGAGGACTAGTGGTCCAGAAGAGAGATTGTGGGGTAAAGGGAACATAGCTTCCTCTTCCTACCTCTGAAGCACATTCAACTAACGAGCAGCTTCCAGTCAGCACAATTTGAGGACAATCACTCTCTGTAAGAGAAAGCCAGGAAAGGTTTGGAGATGCAAGGAACAGGGAAAGAGTAAGAATGTAAAATGTTTTGTTTGCTGTGGAACAGGGTACTGGGGGCGCAATAAAACTTATTGTGGTGGAGGGGAGCAGGGGGAGTCTGGACAGAGGACCGCAGCTTGGTGATGACAAGGCAGGTGAGCCTGGGTAAGGATAGGTGACGGCAGCCATGTACAGTGGATTGGGAAGCAGCAGCCTCCTTTGAGAAAGTTACCTTAGGCCTGTCAGGATTTGGTGGAATGAAATTTTGTTATGGTCTTCTTGAAAGGGTGTGTGGGTTGTAGTTTGGCCCACAGACTCCTAGGAAGAGGTAACAGGCCGTGTCTGTTCTGAGGCAGGAGCAGCAAAAAGCCCTGGTGATTAGAGGCTGGATCCTGGTCTTCTGTTCATCTTTTGGAATCTTCAGTTTGTGTTCAAAACTGTATCTGAATAGGAGGCCCTCAGAAGCTTCTTTTCTTCCACCTTGCTCCTGAAATTCTCCCACTATCTATCATTAACGCCGTGACTAAATTGACTTTGTCCTTCTGGTCGTCAGTGGTATATTCTTTCCTTATGCTCTTTCTTTTGTTTTCTGGTTGTAGCTGAAAAAAACATCTAAAAGTTAGCAAGGGGAAACCAGCAGCTAAGCTCATTGACTCAGTAGACTTAATGTTACACAAAATGTTGAGTGATTGATTATGAGTAGCCTTGGATAGGAGGAAGTAATGACTCTCCTCCCCCAAGAAAAGTGCAGCTTGGCTTTTAGACAGCAGGGACGTTTCTGCTACCCTGAGCTTTGCAGCTGCATTCTAGAGGGTTGAGGTTACTCTTAAGACTGACCACTGGATAAGCCGAGTGTTTTTGTATGTTGTAGTATTATATTACAGTAGAAATTGGTTTGGGAGAAGCCAAATAAATGTTTTCTTGAGATTTCAATATTTTTTCTTGATTGAAATAATTGCCTTTTTCTTATTTAGAGATCTGTGTCCTTGAAAGATATCTTTTAAGGCAGAATTTTCAACTGATTATGCATCTTTTATATTGTTACCTTACTCATGAAGTGTTGAACAATTTTACCTAGCAATATCCCATAACATCTCTGTGCTTTGTGCTGTGGTCTGATTAATTGTTAAAATTATACCAAGAAGCTTTCAGTCTTAACTCCACTTCACAGTCAACACATATAAAGTATGGATTAATTTTAGGCAAATAAGCATATGAAAAGACGCTTAGAATTATTAGTCATTAGGGAAATTCAAATTAAAACCACAATGAGATACCACTATAAACCTTTTAGAATGACTAAAATCAAAATGACTGACCATACCAAGTGTTGCACAGTGATGTGATGCACAGGTGTGTACATGTGTCAGAACTTTAAATATGTGCAATTTATTGTAATTTCATGATACTTCAATAAAGCTGTTTTTAATAACAATATTAAATTTGGTGTTCTTGAAACTTTCTTTTTAATTTTAGGGAGGAAATCCTGCAGCAGTCTTTGTGGGAAAGAGTATCGACTCATGTGATTGAAAACATCTATCTTCCAGCTGCACAGACCATGAATTCAGGGACGTTTAATACTACAGTGGATATCAAGCTTAAACAGTGGACTGATAAACAGCTTCCTAATAAAGCAGTAGAGGTTAGGATATAATTTAATTAAATGGGTAAGAAGCATTATCTGAAGGGAGTAGGAGCTGTGAATTTTAGGTTTTATTCCCATCACAGCTACTGTCTTTCTTTTTGGTCCTTATGCTCCATTTATTCTTTATTCCTCATCTCTGTTGGGATTAACCTTATAGCTGCTACCAGTTACTACTGCTATAAAAATTTACTAATTGGTATGGTGTTGGTCTGAGGGTATTGGTTCTTCTTCCAAAGATAGCATTTAACACATTTAACACATTCAGCAAAATTTTCTTGAATGTGAAATAGTTTTGACTTCTTGTGTGGATAGCGATTCCATAAGGAAAATATTTAATGGATGAAACATTTCATTTATTGATTTTATGCAGGGCTCGATTATACTTTAATAATCACTTCCTTAGTGAGAATCCTGCCAGAAGGCTAGACTAGGAATTATAAAAAGTACCTTGAAGTTTGCATGTCTGTTACCCATGTATCTTGGCTCTCCCACTTAGTAGCTGTGTGGTCCTTGGGCTAGTTGCTTAACTTTTCTGTTTCATCACCTATGAAATAGGGATGATAACGTTGACTGCCTCACAGATTATTATAAGGAGTAAATGAGTTAATGTATGTAAAATACTTAGACAATACCTGGCCCATGGTAACTGCTCCATAAGTGCCAGCTGCTTTTATGATGATGATGATCATCAATATCACAGTTGATTTGCCATGCATATTACTCTGAAAGATGATTGTTCTAGCTAAGAGTCCGTGTATCCTGTGCTTCTGTCTGAAGTGGCTCACAAAGTTAGAATCAATGTTAAAAATAATTTTGCTTTTCATACTTACCTTAGAAACAAAATGTCAGTTTCTGATTATTCAGATGTATTTCACCCCTTTCTTATCCTGCTGCAGTCCTAGCTTCTTTACCTCAATTTCCTCAAGCCTCTCTTTCTAAGAGCTCTTACAGCTGCTCTACCTAAGCTTCATGTTGCTGAACCCTGGTCAGTTCTCGACACATGTACCGCTAATTTAGAGAGCTGCTGTCACCACTTCACTAGATCTCACTACTGGCCCTCACATTTTTCTGGGCCTGTCGCATGACAGTGGATATTGCCTATCAAGGAGTGGAAATGGTCATAAAAATGGCAATGATTCTGTTTCCTGCCACTTTCTGCTTCACACCTAGGTGTGGTAGAAAGATGTGGACCTGCTGAATGTCAGGAAACATCAATTTTAATACCTGACTGTGTATTATTGGACAGTCACCTTTCTTTATGCCATAATTTCTTAATGTTTAAAATGAAGAGAGTTGAATATAAAATGCAACATTAACTAGCCCCTTAATCATAAGTAGATATAATTCTTAATTACTTTTGACACTGTGCTCTTCCTTTCGCTGTTCAGATAATTAGGAGTTAGCTCTAATACAAGGCTGAATAATACTCAGCTATGTTTGAAAGTATTGATGCATGCTTCATATATTTGCATAAAGGCGAAGATGTGAAGAAGACTAAATCATTAAGGAGTTTTAAACTTTTTACAGTGTGGAAGAAGCCAGCAAACTCACATGTTATACAGAAGGAAATAAATAAATGAACCAAGTCTGGTGGCTGACTAGAGTGCGTACCTTTTCTAAAGGGGGCAGCTCGTGTTCAGCTCCAGCAGGTGGTGGTATGTAGGAATGTGAGTACAGTGTTGCCAGATAGTTTAAGAGAGGCTAGAAACGTGGGTTTTTATGAAGTCTCTCAATTCTTGAATGTTAGCTACTAAATTTTAAAAATTTAAAACACTGTGTGTCTAGCAAAACATGTCAGGAGGCCAAATCTACCCTACCACTACCAGTGTGAGATCTCTAGGCCAGAGTTTATATTTGCTGCTTTTTTAAAAAAATGTATTTTATATATATTTTTTGATAAGCTGGTTTATCATGTCTATTTGGCTTAAATTCATGTGTTTATTTTTCATGTTACACATTAAATAAAAGTATGTAGTATAAATATAGCTTTTTTCTTTTAAATAATTCTAGGTTGCTTGGGAGACCCTACAAGAAGAATTTTCCCGCTTCATGACAGAACCAAAAGGAAAAGAGCATGATGACATATTTGATAAACTTAAAGAGGCTGTTAAGGAAGAAAGTATTAAACGCCACAAGTGGAATGATTTTGCAGAGGACAGCTTGGTAGGTCTTTTGTATAGTAGGGTGTCAGCCTCATATTTTTCTCTTTTTTTGGTGAGGAAGATTCGCTCTGAGCTAACATCTGTTGCCAATCTTCCTCTTTTTTTGCTTGAGGAAGATTAACCCTGAGGTAACATCTGTGCTAGTCTTCCTCTGTTTTGTACGTGGGTCGCCACCACAGTGTGGCTGATGAGTGGTGTAGGTCTGTGCCCAGGATCCAAACCCACGAACCTGGGCCGCCGAAGTGGAACGTGCCGGACTTAACCACTATGCCACAGAACCGGCCCCTGGCCTCATATTTTTATATAATTTCTCAAATTGATACTCTTTTATAGGGGACTATTTTTATATGACTATTTAAATTAGATTCTGAACTTAAAATAATGAAGGAAAGAGATTTATGAGCTGTAATCAGCCTGTGGTGTTTCTCTGACCTTCTAAAATCACCCTCTGCTATTTCTTTCTTGGCTATGATTTCACAGTAAATAGGCTTCTATAAACTTTCACAAATTGTCATCCCCTCGCCATTACATGGGCCTGAACTATAGATAGCTGCTTCTCATTTTACCCTTTGTGGTAATGAAAGGGATTAGACGCATTGGTTTTCAGTGGATTTGAGTCATAAAATGTTAGACTTCTAAAATCATAATGCTAACTACCATGTGTTGAATGCTTACAAGGTACCAGAAACTCTGCTATGGATTTTGTAAGCATTATTTTATTTAATTCTTAAGCAGTCCTATTATTGTCTTTGGCGAAGCTGGGGTACAGGCCCCACTCTAATTACAAAGCCTGGCTCCTGACCTCTACCACCTGATAAATCTTTTGTTATGTAGAACGTTCCATCACCATAATCAAATCTTATTAAGCACCTGCTCTGTTCAGACAGTGATGAGAGGCACTGCTGAAGGATAAGATTGAGCAGTTTTCTAAGAAAATACATATCTCACTGTTGGCTGGTGGAAATTAAAATTTTTTTTGAAGAAATGTTGGTCTTCATAGTTGAAAACCATATTCATTCTTGTTAAATGCCTCATTAAGACTTTCTGAGAGAATGGTGCCATTTTTATTCATTCATTCAAAAATTATAAAATTTGAAACCAATTTTCTTATACTAAATAACATTTGCTTATGATTGTCTAGACCTTTTAAGCTTCCCTCCATACGTTTTTAATTGCTGTTAACAGTGAGATAATGATTATTATTGTTTTTTCTCCTCTCTTTTTTGAAAATGCTAACACATAGGTCGTATGGCAAAAAGAAGAGGTACAGATGATCTGAATTATTAACTCCTGAACGCCAGGGTTCTAAATGTTGGATTTTATGTAGTTACCTGTGTAATATGCCTCTCTCTCTCTTTCTTTCTTCTCTCTCTCTGACTATCTTAGAGATGGTCAACTCATTTAATTTGGGCCAGGAGAATCTCTCCACTGTTTTTTCTTTTAGACAGAAAACTGACAAATAAGCAGGCAGATAATAGGACCTCCTGCATTTGTGTGGCAGGGACTTATTTTTATGTTGTTTTAGATACATCTGTTATTTTGGATATTTGCTAAGCTGTCAATTTGAATAAAATTACTAAAAGGATAAGACATAAATCAAATTAGCTGTTTCTCTTTCCTTGTTATTTCAGAGAGTTATTCAACACAATGCTTTAGAAGACCGGTCCATATCTGATAAACAGCAGTGGGATGCAGCTATTTATTTTATGGAAGAGGCTCTTCAGGCTCGTCTGAAGGATAGTAAGTAGAGACATGAGTTATTGAGTTTTGAGTATTCCCAGTGGTAAAGGAGTCATTCAACATCAGTGAACATTTGTAAAAAAAAAAAAAAAATTAACATTTCGAGGTCTTTGTCATTAATACTATAATTGAAATATTTGTAGAATTTTTCAGTCAACTGCTTAGTAACTACTAAATACATTAAATAAATGAGACACATGATGTTTATATGTACTCATACTAAAAAGCTGTAATTCAGCCTATTTTAGTCTTTGCTACTTTACTATGGGAACCTTATAACAATTGCACTTGCCATAGATTCTAAATGTATATAATTAGATTTTCTTATATATGTACCATATCAATCATAATTTTTTTTTCTTTATTTCATCTACCTTTATATTGATAGAACACTTTGAAGTAGTTAAGAAAGCAAGATTATTATTAGTTACAATTTATGTACTTGGTAAGGGATAAAATTCTTGATGAATTAAAACAATTTTTTTTAAATTTTTCTAGCTGAAAATGCAATTGAAAACATGGTAGGTCCAGACTGGAAAAAGAGGTGGTTATACTGGAAGAATCGGACCCAAGAACAGGTAAAAACAAACAAATCTCTGGTGTTATGATGATATAATTTTATTCATTTTAATTCAAGCATCAAAGTATAACCTTTCCATGCCTCTAAACCAATCTTAATAATTGCAACCATTTATATCGTCCTTTCTAAAATATAATGAATCTTAAGAATAAACAGTAAACTACGAAAAAAAAGTAAAGTAGCTGTGTTATTAAAAGAAAGGAGAGGCCGGCCCCGTGGATTAGCGGTTAAGTGCCACACTCTGCTGCTGGCGGCCCGGGGTCGGATCCCAGGCGCGCACCGACGCACCGCTTCTCCAGCCATGCTGAGGCCACGTCCCACATACAGCAGCTAGAAGGATGTGCAACTATGACACACAACTATCTACTGGGGCTTTGGGGGGAAAAAAAAAAGGAGGAGGATTGGCAATAGATGTTAGCTCAGAGCCCGTCTTCCTCAGCAAAAAGAGGAGGATTAGCAAGGATGTTAGCTCAGGGCTGATCTTCCTCACAAATAAATAAATAAAACTGTTTAAAAAAAAAGGGGGAGATGAAATATGCCCCTTTTGTGGTTGATTACTTTGTTCATTTCAATTCCCTATTTGAGGTAAAATGAAGATTAGACTAAGAACAGAAAAAAAAATGATGAGGATTTCAGAGGATATGGAATGAATGTGATTAGAATAAAAGATATAAGCACTTTTTTTTTTACCTTATTCTATTATATTATCTCGAGATTTTTCTGTTGTCTATTCAAATTATTTTATTCTTTTGCCTTTTTTGCTCCTGTGTTCACAAAATAAGTATAAAAATTCAGACAGGAAGTAGAATTGTAGAATTTATTCATTTAATAAACATTTAGCATTTCAGAAGAACAGAATGGTAAAAGCAGGTATAAATAACTTTACAAATATGTAAATAGAAAATGTATAAATTCCTTATTGTTATGACGTCTTTTCCTATCCCACATTCATTCGTACACCACTATCTTGTTCTTATGTTCATTCCTTAAATAAAAATGAGTGTAAATAGAATATAGCATCAAAATAAAAAAGGAAGTAATGAATAAGAAAAAGAGGTGGCATCCAATCCATTTTCTTTTCTTCGTTCCTTGAATCAGTGTAATTAGAGAAAGGAGACCAAGATATGGAAATATCAAGAGAGGATTAGATAAAGAGAATAAAAAATTACCAAATGACATATCATTCCTATTTCCTTATTTATTTTATTTTTTGTTTTTATTTTAAATACAGAGTTAATTAAATTATATAATCAACACCGCATTTTTTCCTAGTTTCATACATTTCTTGTTTCATAAGCTTTCTATCAGATGTGAGTCTCAATTCATTTTAAAATAGCAAAGGGACAGTCTTCCTCTTCTCTTTTTTCTGATATGATTTTTGTGTAAAAATGAGTCATTAAGAGTGAAGACAAGCTGAGGAAGTGTCAGAGTTAGTGGTTGGATCATTTCTGTGTTCAGGGTGCACCAGTTATCTCTGCTCTACATATGGGCTGAGAGGAGGAAGTCTGTCAGAAAAGAACGTCTAGAGGATCCATCAGAGGTGTCTGACTTTGAGACAGGAAGAAACATTGATTGGAAAGAACTGGTGTAAGGCAGATAAACTCCAAAGAAAAATGGTATCAAGGCCTAGTGGAATCAGACCTGAAGTCTCCAGAACGATCAATGATGGAGAACTTGCCTCAGCAGTTAGGGGTAAATATACTTTGGCCAAACACTGTTGAAGAGAAATGATTCCTGGTTGTAAGTTATTTTTCTCAGGAATTTGAACCCATAGGGTATCCCTTTAAGAGAAGTAGAGGAATTACTTTTAAGGTCAGTGCAAGGATCTATAGCCTAGAAGAGGAAAATGGAGACTCTTCAGAGAGAGTCTTCTCTCACGGTTTCAGGGAAGCATGTGTAAGACCAGGGCTGACTGTAGAACAGAAGCCATAATTTGGAGTGTAGATAGGGGACATCAAGTCACTCAGGGAGGTGTTTGTTTCTATATGTATGTTTTATTTTCTCTTTCAAAACAAAACCTCAGGTTGGACTCAGAATCAGGTTCTCCTCTAACCTTTCTAACTCTGCTACTCCCAGTTGAAAACCACTGTTCTAGAACTCATACCTGTAGGTTACAATGAGAAACAGGCTCTAAAAGAGGTTGAGAATATCCCAGGTCTCTCAATGCAAGTTTAGATAGCTGTGTAACAATTCTTCTGTTTTTCTGAGTGACTGAATTTAGCAGGAAAAGAAACTTAAGATTGTCCTGTGTTGAAGATGAGAAATCCATGCTCTGAAAACTACCTTGTACGTTTGTGGTGTTACTTTTTCTGTAGTTTTCTAGGAAAAACCCATTCCTTTGAAACATTCTCACTTTGTCTGAGCTAAACTAACAGAGCTCTTGGTGAGGATAGATGGGAGAGTACTGTTCTCCTGAAGACCAAGTGTGGTGGGGACAGGTGGAAGTGAAATCACAATAGGAAGAGTTGGGGAACATCATAGTTAGAGATTCCTTCCTACCTCAGGCCAAATAACAGATGATAAGGAAACAGTGAAATTCCTCTTTATGAAATATATTTCTTCTCAAGTGTCGTGTTTTCAGAGAATATTAATTAGTAGCAGTTCCATTTACAAGCCAGTTATTTGTGTTTAAGTGTATTGTATAAATACCCAGATTCTTTAGCTTGGCACAGTTTGGGGCAAAGTGCTGTGGTAGTAACTCGTTTAGAGTAGTCAGTGAATTTGAAGCTGGTTTCTTGTACCGTGCAGTTTTGAAAGAAAAGGTGATAATGAAAAGATAAACTTAATTGACATCATATAGGAGTCTTATGTTCAAACTTATCACTAGTGTGTGTATGTTTTCCTCCTTTGGTGAAGAGATTGTGAACAATTACAGAGAAGACACTGAAAGTGAGTTTAAGAATGATAGGCACCTCACAGAAGCAGTCTAAAGTGTGATTTTTAACAAAAAGACTTTTTAAGAAAATCAAACTGAATTTTATATTTAATTTATCAGAAAAGAAACATGCCAACAGGTGCAGATCCTTACAGTAATCTGGTTCTTAGGCATGAGGCATTTCTAGAACATTTCCCTTCCCCTGTATTCAGGGTACTTGTTCCTAGACTGAACCGCGCCTGAAGGTCAAGAAAGAAAGTACATAGTAAGGTGCCTGGTGCTGTAACTTCCACAGTAAAACATTTCAGCAAAAGTAAAGTATCACAAATAGGGCTGATTCCTTTCTTTTTTCTTTTTGCCTCTCATAAGTCCGGGTCGTTCTACATTTGTAAGCAGTTGCCCCGTGTCCATAGCCAGGGTACTGTGTTCTTTTCATTTGTTGTCATTGGGCTTGTGGCGCCTGTTATGCCATAGCAATATATTTATTAAGATTGAGACTGTTTTTATAAGTATGCCAAATCATGAACCATCTAAACACAGTCCTCTTTTAAACATTTTAAAGTTTGTTCACAATGAAACCAAGAATGAACTGGAGAAGATGTTGAAATGTAACGAGGAACACCCAGCTTACCTTGCAAGTGATGAAATAACTACAGTCCGAAAGAACCTTGAATCCCGAGGAGTGGAAGTAGATCCAAGCTTGGTAATAAATTTTGCTGAAAAGCATGAACTTGCTTCTTTAGTCTTTGTTTCTTGTAGTAAAACGTAACTACTTCTAATGTGTTACTTAGATATCTAAGTGGTTAATTTGACAGTGGTCATGTGTACTTCTGCTGACGGTAAAAGCTCAGTCGTTTTAATTGTGGAAAGAGTACAAATTTTTTTCTCAGTATTGCTTTTTTAATGGATTGCTTTAATTTACAAATGGGGAAATTGAGACTTAGAAAAGTGAAGTATCTGGGCAAGGTGAGCAGTAAGTTCTGGCAAAAGGGGATGAAACCCACCCAGGTCTCTGCACCACATCACACTGTTGCAGATTGCAAAATAGAATTTCTGCTAAAACATATATATATATATATATATATATTTAATATATATTTTTAAATATATATATTTTTAATCAAATATATATTTTTAATATATTTTTAATCAAATATATATATTTTTAATATATATATTTTTAATCAATTGTACCTTAGGTATGAGTGGACTTAGAAAAAATATGAATGTTGAGTTTTTATTAAATTGGATAATGCCTTTGGGATCTATCTCTTTTTCCTCATTTGTAATAAATATGAGGATAAAAATAATTACAGTTTAGACTACTCTTTGCTTACCTTCATGAGGCTTATTTGGGGAAAATAAAAAAAAAAAACAGTGTTTCTGGGCCTATGTTCCCTAGTTAGGATGCAAAGGATCAAAACCTCATTTTAATATTAGCTTAGGTTAGCTTACGTGAAACCCAATTAGAAAAGTAATTCTAGTGGGGGAAACAATCATATAAGAAGTTTCAGAGCCACACATACATTCTTTTAAAGATTATCTGCTCTTTATGTTTCCACACTTGAGAAATGAGTATACTTATTTTAAATTCCACCAGAGGTCAGAACAAGAAAAGAAAACTGGTGCAGCTCAAAGCAGTTAAAGCTGTTATACATCTAGCATATTATACCTTTATGTGGCTGTAAGTATGGACACTTTGGTTAATACAATAGGAGGGACTTCGCCCACATCTTAGGATATGGATTGGCTGTATATCTTAATTACTTTCTGTGGGCAGGAAAGTCTCAGATTTTTTCTGAGAGACACTTTGTTCAGTGCACTTTATGAAGCTATAAAATAGGTAGCAAAGTTTACTGTAACAAGAATAGTGGGTGTACTGGATGTCTGGAGATGTGAATTCTAGTCCAGTTCCATTCCGTTAGCTAGTCATTGATATAATCTTTCTGATCCCTGCTTTTCTCATCTGTCAAATGGTGTTGATGATACTTGTTTTCACTACTTAACGTTATTATTGTTATGCTCAACAAAAGACAGTGGTGTGAAAGAACTTTGAACATTCTAACAGACTATGCAGTAATAATGTGGTGGGGGTCATATTACTGTGGTAACATGAAATTTAATAATCAGAAAGGAAATATTGTTGGGTTGATGGACATGGTCTGAGACCAGCTTCTTAGTCCTAACTCTGTCCTTAGACAAGGCTCACAACTTCTTTTTGCTTTGGACTGCTTACCTCTAACTAGGGGAAGGTAATCCCCACCTTATCTACTCTACAAGATGATTATTTGAATGTAATAACAATGCTTGTTAAAAACATTGCAAATTTTGAGGTACGTAAACTGGTAAGGAGTCAAAGTAGTAGTAAATCTAATCTTTGTCTTGAAGAAAAATGTTAATGGATAAAAAAAAGTTGGTAGAATAACAAAATTGCCCTTGGTTTTAATTAGCTTTTTTTATGAATAAACTTTGTGTATGACTTTTCAGAATGTGTTCAATCAACCTGAAGAGAGTACAGTAACTCTTTGGTCTTTGTTTTCTTTTAGATTAAGGATACTTGGCACCAAGTTTATAGAAGACATTTCTTAAAAACAGCTCTAAACCACTGTAACCTTTGTCGACGAGGCTTTTATTACTACCAAAGGCATTTTGTAGATTCTGAGGTAAGGTTTCCAAAAAACAAGAAGAAATGTTTTTTAGTAATAGTTTTTAAGAATTAATTTTTTCATATTAGAAAATAATTCATCCCCATTGTGGAAAATAAATGCAATAAATAAACGTAAAAAATATCCAATAAGGAATAGTCACTTATAATCCCCTGACCTAGGAGTAATTTTAGTTAACGTTTTTATTTATTTCCATTCAACTCTTTCTAAATACAATTATATGTATGCGTATCTGTATAACATAACCATCCATTTGCAGAGTGGAAGTCATACTGCAAGACAGTTTTTTATCGTCTTTTTCCCCGGTATTATACTGTAATTCTTTCTTTATATCACTAAAATCTTGTTTGAAATAATTCTTTAAAAGAGCTGTATAAAGTTCTTGGAATGGACAGTTGTGCTTAGTTTAATGTCACATTTTACAAAGTAACCCCTAGGTGGCAGCAGACTGATGTATTTTGAGCATTTTCTTAAAAGCAGAAATGCTTTTTCAAGTATCCTTCTGAAAGAGTTGTATTAATCACTGATTTTATTTGAGACCCCTAAAATGCTTTTCTTTTGAGTTTTGAGCAGCGTAAAAATAAAAAAAATTTAAATGCACCTATGTAAATTACAAAAGTGGCATAATTTTAACTATTGAGAAGACTTCTCTACAAAATAAGCTTCTTTTAAAAAATGTATTATGAACTTATTTTCATATACAGCTGACTTTCAAAAATGGCTTGAGTGCACACTCAAAGAACAGCAGTTAACCTAAGGACATACTTAAAATAACATGATCATTAGTTGAAACTAAATACAATTTATGGGTATAAGCTATGAATTTCTAGTTGTATATAATGTAATGAAATTCTCTACTTCACAAGTTTATTTGCTTTGTCATTGGAATCAAAGCTATATAGGTGTGGGGCAGACAGAACCCAAATCATGCAGAATTTTATGGATCCAGTGCAGCAGTGATTTAGTAGCTTCTATCTACAATAGGAATATATGCATTAGGTAAATCTGAGTATTTATTATTAAAGTTTAGAATATAAAAACTGACTTGAGTACAGTAGTTCCCCCTTATTCACAGTTTTGCTTTTCCAAGTTTGATTTCAGTTACCTATGGTCAACCGCAGTCCAAAAATATTAATGGAAAATTCCAGAAATAAACAATTCATAAGTTTTAAATTGCATGCTATTCTGTGTAGTGTGATGAAATCTCACGCCATCCCACTCCATCCCACCTGGGACATGAATCATCCCATTGTCCAGCATATCCATGCTGCAAAGGCTACCCATCCATTAGTTACTTAGTAGCTGTCTCAGTTATCAGATTGACTGTCGTGGTATCGCAGTGCTTATGTTCAAGTAACCTTATTTTACAATAATGGCCCCAGAGTGCAAGAGTAGTGATGCTGACAATTCACATATGCTAAAGAAAAACCATAAAGTACTTCCTTTAGGTGAAAAGGTGTAAGTTCTCAACTTAATAGGGAAAGAAAAAAAATTGTATGCTGAGGTCCCTGACATCTGTTGTAACTTTTATTACAGTGTGTTGTTCTATTTTATTTTTAGTTATTGTTGTTAATCTCTTACTGTGCCTAATTTATAAATTAAACTTTAGCATAGATATGTATGTATAAGAAAAAAACATAATATATCTAAGATTTCTTACTATCCATGGTTTCAGGCATCCACTGGGGTTGGAATGTATGCCCCGTGGATAAGGGGGGACAACTATAGTTGTATGTGTTTATGATCATGGTTTTCATTTTTAAATTTGCATCTGGTAATCTTAATTGCCCAATATTTCAGTTGGAATGCAATGATGTCGTCCTCTTTTGGCGAATACAGCGCATGCTTGCCATCACCGCAAATACTTTACGGCAGCAACTTACAAACACTGAAGGTACGCCGCAGAGGGACCGCTTTCTAATTTTGACATCAAAAATATAGTAATAACATCCATTTTTAATAGAAGGATGCCAATATACTTTCTTAAAAATAGATTTATTACAAAAACCGAAAATTTTAATTTGCCGTTAAAATATTAGTGATAATAAATCATAACAGAAAAAGATAGGACATAAAACATACCAGAAGTCTCCTTTCATTACATAAAAGCTCTGTGAGAAAAAGACTCCTAAGCATCAGTTAGTTTTTTTGGGAAATCTGCACTTCCATTAAAGTGTTAGGACCTGAGAATATGATTTTTCTCTGAGAATATGTGTTAGTTTCATTTTAATAAAAATACTGTGTAACAGGTAGAGATTCTCCCTTTAACTGAGAATTCTGAACTTAACAATAGATCTCACATGAGAAAAATAACTTACTTTCCATATATTGTTAATTTTATTATCGTTGTGCATTCATAAAAATGGTGCTCCTCAGGTTTTTTATTTACTTTGAACAGTCAGGCGATTAGAGAAAAATGTTAAAGAGGTATTGGAAGATTTTGCTGAAGATAGCGAGAAGAAGGTTAAGTTGCTTACTGGTAAACGAGTTCAACTGGCCGAGGACCTCAGTAAGTAGTTCTTCCTGCCTTTTCACTTTCCCCATTTCCATTTATTTGTTCATCCTTTTAATCTCAAACTTACAAAAAAGTATATACAAAGAACTTTTTTTCCCTGAAGTATTTGAGAGAAAGTTGCTGACCTGAAGCCTCATCACTTCCAAATACTTTAATGTGTGCTTCTTAGAAACAGATTTTCTCCTAACAACCTTGATGCACCATCAAAATCAGGATGTTTACACAGATACGTCACTGCATCTAATTCTCAGGCCCCATTCTAGTTTCACCTGTTGTCCTCATAGTGTCCTTCCATATAACAAGATGTTCCACACTCATCCTGTACTTTCCCTGACCCAGCTTCCTTTTTTTGGAGAATGGTATTTCGAAATCAAGAGTTGAGAACTAGATATGCTCATTGTTACTGGAACATCACTGTTCCCAGATCCTCTCCGTGTAAAGAGCAGGGGAACAAATATTGCGTCTGTGTGTGTGTGTGTACATGTGTAGGTGCTTACATATACGTTTACATCTATATTCCTAATCGTGTCTATATGTCTTTATTGAAACCGTAAGTTAACACCAATAGTTTCCATTTTAATCCAGCAGTACAGAGTCGTTCTAGTTTTCTCCTTTTCCATATTTGTAACTCCTGTTTTTGACAATGAGAAACCTTGCTCCAAGTTTCCTAAATATATTTACTTCTTTTGATCAGTGCTTCTATATGTGACCACACTTGTTGCTATACCCTTTATTGCACAAACATTCTTTTCACCAGCTGAGACTCTTATCGCCCAACTCCGGGCCGCCACCACAGTGCTTTACCCTGTGTCGACACCCTTTTCACCTCATCTGGCCTCTGACATCCCATGCCAGGTTGTCTTTCTTTTTGGATCCTTTTTACTGAGCTCATGCTCTGACACTTTGTGCCAGGCATCTCCCCTCTCATCCTTCCCACCCCCCACCCCCTACACAAGGACTCCCTCCTCTCCTGAAGCCGCACCGTGCTTTTGTGGAGACACCCTCTTCATCCTGCGTGTGCTCTGACCCCCCACACAAGACTGCCCTCCTACATGGATGCTCTCCTCACTCCTGGGCCAGGCCACCAACACCCCCTGTGAACACCCTTTTAAACCTGGTCAGGCTTCAGCACCTACACTAGGCCCATATCACTTTCCCTTCCCTCACCCCTCCCCACCACCAGCCAAGGCTGACCTTACTTTGTCACTTTGTTTGGGGGGATATTTGGTTCTTTCTTGAATGGTAGTAGGTTCTTAGCTTTAAAATGTTTGGGTTGCATATTAAGATTTACTTAGATCCTTGAGAACCCAGGAAAATCAATGAAAGATTATTATTAGCTTAACTTGTTACAGGTTTCCCTTATTTCAGCTTCATGAACAAAGTATTTTTTCTTTCAATGTATACTGAAATTTTCTGTCTTATGAGTTTTCTCATATCTAAAAGAAAGCAGATGCTGAATAGAAAGAAGTTCTTCAAATTTGAAAACAGTTTCTAAACTAAATTTATATCACTGCAATACAGTCACTAGAATATCCAAGAGAAACCGGGCAGTTTTCCTATTTTGTACCCTGTGCCTAAGCAGCATGCTCTCCCTCCGCGATTTGTCATCTCCTCTCTCCTCTCTAGTTATCTGAGTTCTTCATTTCTTTCTCTTTTCCTTTTCTTTCTTTAAATAATCTTTTTTGAAACATCTCATTTTAACTTTTATTTTCATTTTCTGTTGTTTTTCTTTTAGTTTTTTCATGCCACTTTCGCAGCATAGTTAAATTTGTGCTAAATTAGAGAAGATCTGTGTTTAAATCTGAACTGCCATTTACTACCTCTGTTATCTTAGTCAGGATATCTCTCAGAGCCTTTGATTCTTTGTTTGTAAAAACAATTACTATAATAGTTATTTCACAGGGTTGTTAGGAGAATTAGTTCAAAAACCATTTGAAAGTCCCTGGTTCGTAATTTTATGCTAAATCATTGCTGTTACAGGAAGAGGTGTGTCAGTGTCACAACATATACAAGTACATTTCTTTTATATCCCTCAGGACATAGTTATCAGACAGTGAAATACTTCAGTGTATTTTACCAGCATTTACATTTTTAGGTGATTAAAATATGTGTCTTTTCTCATGTTTTATAATAGAGTTTTGTGTAACCGCATCACTCTCCACTCCCAATTTGATTATTTAAGAAAGTGTATTACTAACATGAATTTGTGTACTGTGAAGCCAAGTCCTATATTCTCTTGCTGGTTTTCCTGAGAAAGTACTCATATGATTCCCTTGAAATGATTTACTACTTTTGTGCGTGTAAAATCATGGTCGTGTTTCTGTACCAAATAATGTCCTTGGAAACAAGTGTTTCACCAGTGACTCAGCTTCATCAGTCACACTAAAGGAGATGAGCCATGACTTTGTCCATTAGTTCTAAAAGAATCTTGAGAGTACCTTTTCCTTACTGTTTATCTTCACTCTAACACTTGGGAATATGGTCGTAGATACTTACAGCCAGAAAACTTTCAAAGCTTAACAGTTACTACTGTATTACATGAATCAAAGTTTCTAGTATAGCATATTCAATTAGAATATAGTGAATTTAGAGGAAGAGAGGCAGTCAAGAGAGTTTTTACTACAAATTCACAATATTATAGGGTAGAGTATTGGAGAGATTTTTTGCCAGTCTTAAACTTGCCTGATTTTAAATCATTTCACCACTTTACTTTGGAAATTCATCAACTGATTGTCATTTAAGATGAGTACATAAGAAGTAGTACAATGTTTTCTCATATTCTGGAGAAGATATACCATCTTCACTATTGAGATGAAGCCGTGAAGCTAGAATTAGGAAGATCAAAGAAATGAAAGAAGAGCCCATCTCTTCCAGTCTTAGGAGGCTTATGAGAAGAGGACTCATACATAGGAACCAAGATTTTTTTGAGATATGGTAGATTCCATCACTCGAGCAGGGAAAGGTCACAATAAACCTGGGACATCTGAAGATGTAGAAAGTAAGGAAGTGCTGCAGGACGATGGGGACATGTCAATAGAATACAGAAGCCCGCATGAAGAGGCTCTAGCTGGCCAAAACTAGGACAGTTTGGATATCAAAATAAATAACAGTTACAGATTGTAGCACATTGAATAAAATAAGAATCCATAAATTGATAATTATATAAATAAATGAATAAAATCAGTCATGAGGAATGGGGTGTTTGTATAATCACACAAAATAGCTCCACACAAAATAATTAAAAAGGGGAAAAGAGTAACTTTACAGTGGAGAAGCCTGGCAATAACTACCTTAATCAAGCGGTCAGAGTTAAGATTATCAGTAACGGTCAAATCAGAACTGTGTGCCACCTTATAGAATGCAGTGAGAAGAACCCAGCATCGCTTCTCGGGTATTCTTACCAAAGATATATAACTGAAATCCAGTCATAAAGATACATCAGACAAACCCAAATTAAGGCACAGTCTACAAAATAACTGGCCTTTAATCTTCAAATATATCAAGGTCATGAGAGACAAGGAGAGACTGAGGAACTGTTCCAGGTTGAAGGAGACTGAAAAACATGAAAATGAAATGCAATGTGTGACCCTGAACTGTAGCTTTTTGCTCTAAAGGACACTAATGGGACAGTTGGTGAAACTTGAATGGAATCTGAGGGTTACGTGATAGTAATACATCAGTGTTAATTTTTAAACTTTGTTAAATTGGGATTATTTAGGAAAATATCCTTGTGTAGCTAATACACAAAAGAATATTTGGGGCTAATGGGGCATAATGACATTAAATAGTTTAGGAAAAATATGCTCTTGCAACTTTTCCTTAAGTCTGAGATTGTTTTTACATAAAAAGAGTTAAAAAAATGTTTAATTTTGTTTTTGTAACATAATGGATCAGGGTCATGTGAAAATAATTTGAAAACATCTCTGAAGATGGCAAAAGACTGAATTACCTCATGGACAATTTAGTAAGATACAAAGCTCATCTTTCCGTCTTAATTCCTTATTTGCAGTGTCTGGTCACACACAGACTGTCGGGTGTTTAAATATGCCCACTATGACATGAATTTCTTTTGATTTTGTAGTGAATTTTATTTCAAATGATTTTTTGTAGATATTTAAATACAGTGTTAACTTAGATAAAATCTATTTGGATTCCCAGTGTAATTTTTAATAATATGTCCAATCTATTTATTGAAAGATTGTAATTTTAAAATGCTTTCTTTGAGGAGGGGAATGATACATTATAGCATAATTCAAAGTTTTTCTTTCTAAGAAAATTATGATCTGTTTAATGATTTATAAAATCTATTTTATGATTATCATCATATAAAACAAATAGTAGTGCTAACATCTTACAGGCTTTTATTGGAATTTGTTCTCCATCTCACCCCTGAAACTGAGTATCTAGGCACTGGTAACAATTGCTGGTGATGTTGCTAAACTGAGTTTCATCAACACACCATGAAATTCTTTCACTGTTTGCTCTATGAATATTGTATCAACTGTTAACTAGGTTATTGTGAGTTTCTGGACCTTTATATCAGCTGCTTGGGATTTAGAGCTTAGGTTGCTGTTTTAACTCTTGTTCACTGTAGCCCGAGTTACACTTTTCATTTTCTGTGTATATAATCAGAGAATCATTGATACCAGGAGTTAAAAGGGCATTACCAATCATTTAGAGCACTCTTTCTAAGATCTGTGGAGTCTTTTCCTCCTTATTTTACAATACCATTTTTGTATCAAAACTTGAAACTGTTTATGAATGTGAATCAATATTTGAATACTTTTCCTGTGCCAGATATTAGGTTATGTACTTAGATGCATTCTCATAGGTACAGTCATTTTTCTCATTGTATAGATAAAGAAATGGAGGCTTAGAAACATGTAGATAGTAAGTGGTAAAGCCAAGATTTGAGCTCAGGTCTTTTAACTACTGTGCCAAACTAATTTGAAAAAAAAAACTTGGAAAATATAATTAGATAAAATGATCCTTTA